CGTTTCATTCCAACAAGCCTATACAGCCTATATACAGCTTTACAGCAGCATATAACCTTCTATGCTGTCAGATCTAGCAAGAGAACTCTCTATTGCTTTCTCTCTCTCTATGATTCTGTCAGCTAGAAATCACTTATCTATCCACCATGCTCTCTGTTTCAGCCATTTTTTCTTGAAAAAAAAAGTTATGAGAATTTCGCATAAATATCACGTTTTTGTTACTCTTGTGCGGGAAAAAAAAAGGCTTATTTACAGCCCTAATATAGCATGTCGTCGCACCTATGGTCAACAATTATTTTTTTTTCACCGCCGTCAAATTCATGGAATTCATATTTCCTATTAAGACCATCGTTTCCATATTATCAATTTGAGATGTGTGAAGGCGTGTGCATGTGTGTGTGTGTGTGTGTGTCTGTGATGAAACATGCCTTGTTAACATATTCTGAACAAACAGATACTCGTCTATAGATCTACTATAAAAGGAAGCTCATTCAATTCCGTCTCACCATACCCCCATTGCTCCTCGCTCGTCTTCCCCTCCTCGCTTGTCAAGAAGATTTTATAACAATTTGTTTTCTTCTTGTTCATATAATGTTCCTCTATCTCTCTGTGTTTCTATTTTTCTTTATTTTTAATATAATTTATGTACTTGTCTATGAGCTTTTTCTCATGTTTTTTATCCCTTTATTCTTTTTTCATTCACTAACAATCTCTCAAAATTTCATTTCATCTACACGACGGACGACGAGACAGAGATTTCTATTCGCTTTTTCTCATCTCCAATCGTTCAGCTTCATGTCTTCCTGGTAGTTTGATAGTTTTATTACCCAGGCTTCACTTATCTATATATATATAAATATATAATATTTCTGCTTCCGATCACAAAAAAGAAACAATATGCGGAAGAGGAACATCGTAGATGAACGACGATGAACGACAATCAAAGCTCTAATCTTCTTTTGTTATTATTTTGGTGTTTTGTTTTGTTTATGATCTCTTCTTATATATATTCTGTATGTGTTGGTCGAAAAAAAAATAGTTTTAAATTTTTGACCAAAAAATGCAGATGAATGGAATGAATAGCAAAAGCATTTAAAAGCTCCCACCCCTCCCCAATGTAAATCACAAGTCGACGACGTCGTAGTGAGGTGACATTTCATCTGAATAGCATTAATTATTCATTTTAAACAATTATTCTTTAATTTGCTTTACCATCGTAATGCTTTTAAATAAAGAATATTTAGTCTTACATTGAAACTTACGTCATTTCCACTTGCTTCAAGACGATTAGTTGTCATGTCCTTTGCTTTACGCCGCTTACGTCCGGGTCTTTCATCATCCTCCCAAATCGTCCAGCTTTTTATACAAATTCTTTTTCAGTTAATCTTTCTTCTCATTCATTCAGCTTCTCATTCAATTCAATTTTTGTCTCTTCCATTTTTTCCTCCTCCATATTTCATCTTTACCTGCTATGGACGACTAACCATCTAAGACTCTTTCACTCAGCTCTACCTTTCCTCTCCACCCATTGCTTGAGTCACTCAGTCACTCTCTCTCTTACTCTCTCTTTCTTTTCAACCTTCTCCCCTCCTCCTCCCCCCCGCATTCTGAGACCACCCACTTATTCCATTCTGATCTCTTGAAAAGCTTTACACCCTCCATTTACCATTTCTGTGTTTTCACTTGCCACTAATCTTTTCATTGTATTTATATGTGTTTCTATGTTTTCCTTAAGGTTTTTTCATACATTTTTTTTCCTTTTTTTTTCTTTCTATTTTTCTTCCTTTTTTGCTCGACTATCTCGTTTACGCTAATTTCCGCATATACGTGAATACCCACGTCAACGCGCAAACAACAAACGTTTCAGCATTCAGTATTCAATTGTCGAATAAGCAGAACGGTTGTGCTTTTTAATTTCCCAATTCTATCCAAACCTTTCATTCTTGCTCTCTCCCTCTCTCTCTCTGTTACGCTCATTTCCATACTGTTCTCTTAAACTCTCTGAAACTTGTGGATTGGTATTATTCTTCTATCTCTCCATTTCTTTTCATACTCTCTAACTCTCTTATAATCTTTTTTTCCATTCCATCTTACTCGATATCCATAACCAATCAAGTTCAAAAGCTTATTAAGTCGTAACATGACTTAATTTTATTGTCTACCCAAATGCATGAGAAAGCCAACAGATTTTCAATGAAGTTCTACTTATCGGCTATAGTTATATGAATATATTAAATATCCTTTTTTTTTCTTTTTCTTTCATAACGCATAGTTTACACGACTGAACTCATTTGGCTTCATATTATCAGTTATCAGAAAGCAACTTGTAGCTATTATTTATAAGATAATAGCATACAGACTGCTGCTACTGTGCCTCTCTCTCCTCCTCCTCCCTCCTCCCAGCCTTTCTTTACCAATCTTATTTACTGTATTATAACTTTTTTTTTCGCTTCCAGCCTTCAAAAACTTAGATTCATATATATTTTCAAATATATATATATATATATATATGAAAATAATATATATTTTTTATACTTTTACTAACATTTGTTGTTTCTCGAACTAGATCTCTCCGGCTCTCAACTATTCACCGTGACGTTAGCAATAAGACTTATATTGCCCACGGCGCACTTCTGATAACTCATCTTCCTACCCAATGCAAATTCGTTATGACATGGCCTATGACCCTTCTCTTACATGCCTACGCTTAAACCTCATTTCTTGTTTTTCCTCAAACAATTGTTCCAAGTGGATTTTCCGTCATTTTGATATCATCTTCGTTGAAGCTTGTTGTATTCCAATAGCGAGCGAGAAACGAAAAGAAAAAAAGAAGAAGTAGTAGAAGAATAAGGATAGAAGGCAATATGAGTGAAGCAATAAAGTAAAAGTTTTCCTTCATTGGTGTCAAAGCATCCATACCATCATCATGTGTGACAAGCTGTTTCGCTATGACCACAACTATGAAAATTGGTAGAAATTTCGTTAAAAATATCATAAAAATGATTGAAAACATCCAAAAGTTATAGAACACATTAATTTGTTCGTCGCGATCATTAGTCAGTCATATCTCTCTCATTCATCCAATGCTTTATCCATCTACCTCTCGTTATATTCTTAATTAATTCGCTTTTCTATCGCCTCAACTCTCTTGAGCTTGTTGCCTTTCTATTTCATCTTTTCATCCTCTGTCTTTCCCTCTTTTCTTTTTTTCTCACACTTCCTCTCCTCTCTCTCTTCTCTCTCTCTCTCTCTGAAATCTTATAATTTGCTTTTCTGTTTCTATCTCTTACCACTTTCCAAACACGTCACACTGAATCCACGTTCCAATACACGTGAACAATCACGTACACATCTCCTTCTCATTTTCATATCAACAGCTCAACAGAAACGGTTGTGTCCAATACTGAGAATATTCCATCTTCCCTTCCATTCATTATTAGGAAGCCAGAGATACCACCACACTGGACATCTCATGCACACAACTTGTAGATCATTCCATTCTTTTATGAGCATGATCAAAAGCATTCTTGAACTTATTAAGAGCTTGTTATCTTGATTAATTATGTCCTCTTTTCATCCTTGTTTTGCCCAGTGCAGGAACTTTTTTCTTCGATATTCTCAGGAATTAGCTATGAACCAAGGAAGAAGGGCTTCACAAATGACGAGTAGAATCCTAGTTCAGAATCAGAAAAAATATTATTTTTTCTATCAAAGCTAAAGCTCTAACGAGCTTCATAATATAGATGAAGCAGCAGAGCTTCCTTCCTTGCTTGATCTCATGTACTCAAAAGTTTCCTGTTTTAAAAAAAAAAAGTTTTTTTCTTCCCTTCTCTCCACTCTTCAACGCTTCTCACAATTCCACATTTGCTCTAACTATCTGTTATTAAGAGCTTTATATGATATAAGAAAAGATTTATATGTACATTTGGATTAATTTGACTCATTAAAATCACTCCGTGCATATCAATAACTCACTCTCTCTCTCTACGTGTTACTCACAGCTCCGAGAAAGTTTTCTGCAAAAACGAACGATGAACTTTTAAAAATTCATCTATTCGTCGTCGTCCCCCCCGCAGCTCGCTTCTCCTCTCTTATTAACTATCCGTCGCCTTTTTTTTTGCTTTCATCCAGAAAAATTTGTCATAAGTTTCTTGGAAGTATATCACGAACTAATAGCTCAATTTGGATATTTGAGTTAAAATTGAAATTGGTAGCCTTACCTTTCTAATGCATTTTGTTTCTCCCTCCCTCCCTAGCTCCCTCCGCCTTTCTTCTTCTCTATCTCTCTCAAGCTCACTTTCTCTCTCTCTCTCTCTCTCTATCGCAAAGCTTCAGAGATCTTTTCCCCTTTGAGACAACATGATGCTTTGATCGTCAAAATGCTTAAAATGTTTTGATTTACCTTTAATGGAACATCTTCATATTGGGCTTCATGCAGTCATTCATCCACCCCCATCTAATTCACAAACATCGCCGGACGTCTAATATTCAATTTGCTTCACCTCCCTCTCACCACAATTGAATTTTGTTTCTTTTTGTTCGCAGTGAACTTTTAACTACTTTTTATTAGCAATCAATTCATTTTCATCTCATATATATTTGAATAAAAAGAAAATTTCATCAAAATACCTTGGCAGCTGTTAAGCCACAGTACCAACACCCTATTATACAGCAAAATGTGTTTTTAGAATATAACCAAATAATATCCACATGATATCATGTTTTCTTTGAAACAAAACCCTTTTTTGATTCAGTTACAACTATTTCAATAAATTTTCATTCAAATGTTTTTTTGTATTTGAATATCAAGTACAATTCTATTCTCAAGCTGCTTTTTTCTTGCTTCAAATATATTCAGATCTCTCTATCTCTCTCAATCTTTCATTCATATCTACTCAAGCTCTCTTTTTTCTTCAATCATGAATGATCAGGAAATCTTTGATTTCGTAGTCGCATAGCATCTAAGTTTGTCTATATTTTCTTAATTAAAGGTATTTCCTATGAGGCCGTGGAGCCATTATCTTCTAGCAGTTTTGCTGGCTGCAACTTTGCCGCATATTTACGCCTTCAGCATTCGGGAACTTATAAAAGGAGGAGGCAAACGAGGAGATAGTTCCAGTGAGTTTTTATCAAAACTACTTTATCATTATCAGTAGAGATCATTCCCTTAACAAATGTTTTTTTCCAGCTCCTTGCCCTACTTGGCATCCTTTTGAATGTCCATCCGGAGAATGTGTTCCAATTAAGTACCTTTGTGATGGATCTCCTGATTGCTCAGATGAGTATGATGAGAATAAAAGCATGTGTACAGCTGGTTAGTTTTGTTTTTTTAGCTTAAATCTATTGAGAGTGGTTATTTCAGCCAATCGCCCACCTGTAGAAGAGACAGCGGCTTTCTTGAAAGCCTTAATGGCAGCTCATGGCAAAGACTTTCTCGTGAAGGTAAAACATCATATAGAGTTAAATTGTCATTCATCGTCATTCCATTGTATAGGTGTTTGGTTCGAAAGCTAGAGGAGAGCTTGTTGGTCTAGGTGGTGTGGATAAAGTGGCCGTAGCTTTATCCCGTAAGTTTTCCTTCATTTGTGTCGAAAATAAATTTTCACGTTTCCCCGAAGCACCACAATTTTCCGAGTTTCGAAAGGAAACTGTTGGTCTATGCTCAGCTAAAAGTCAAATTTAAAGATTTATGCTCTCATAATGATAGTTCTGTACTCCTTCCATCCCTAGCGCTTTCCTCATCTCTTCAAGCTTTCGTTGTCTCGTTTCCTCTCATTTATTTAAACAAATCTTTTGGTTATATTACCCATTCAAACCATTTGCATGTAGAATGAGTTGTTTGGACTGAAACGCACAAAGTTAATCAGAAATCTTCTAATGATTCTCGGAAACTTCCATATCTGGATTTTCACTTACTATTAAACTACGGGATGTGGGAATATGCTCCGTTTTTGCAGAATCTCCTACAGCTGACATATTTGGACAAGAAATGGGTTTTACGGAAGATGAAATTAATCACATGATGATGGTCTTGGAAGGCATTTTGAATGGATCCACCGAGGAACTCACCAGTAACGAAGCCGCTGATTTCAAGTTCTTCGTGCAAAAGCTTCAGGTTTGTAATTTTTGTTCACATGACGTGATTTAGTGTGAATATATGAAACATTTGACCATTTCAGGAAACCGGCTTTTTCTAAATTTAACTGATGAAAACTGCAGCTGCTTCTTCTGATTCACACACGCACACACACACACTCACACACGTTCCCAAAATAAATTTTTCAAATGAAATTTCGGACTGTTCCTTGATCTCAAAACGTTACTGTTACCGTAACGCCATCTCTCTGTGGATTTTACCTATCTTATACTTTCATGACTGATGATTTGAAACCATCTGAAGAATGTTTCGGTCCTTTTATGTCCATAGCCATCCATCTCACACATTTATCCATCGATCTGTAACTTCTACGCATCTCCAGCGTCACACTGTTTGTCATCGTTGTGGATCATGTGTGTCTACGAGTTATCGTACTAATAAACCTTCTGTTAATTAGATATATTATTATGTTTAATACAATAAAAATAATCATAAATATGACCATAAATATCATTACTACCCTTTTTCATCTACAATTTGAAGTTTTGCTTGTTTGAATTAAAAAAAATGGAAAGAGGCACTCTATTATATACGCAAAGAATTACTGATCACCATAAACGCAGAATAACAAACAGAAATGATGTCACTTCACCAATCAATTTGTTAAGCTGATCGTAAAACATCTACAACTCCTTTTACTTTCAAGTAAACAGAACACTATCCATCATCTCATGCGCATTATGTCAAATAAATTCTTTCCATTCGTGGGGGTATAGCTCAGGGGTAGAGCGCTCGCTTTGCATGCGAGAAGTCTGGGGTTCGATTCCCCATACCTCCAATAATGTTTTGCAATTCTCATGGTTGTTTAAATTCTTTTTTTTTTTCTATTTTGTTAACCTTTCTTTCGAAAAAAACATCAAAGATGTAGTATGAGCTATTTTGACAGTTGTATTTATAATATTTAATGAAATAGTTGTTTTCACGTCTTTAAATTAATAGTCCCGTAGTAGTGTGCCATCGTCTTGTGCCAATCGGCAATATTGATTTCCTGATCATTCGACACGAAATCATATACTAGCTCTGTCAAATCTCTGTCGCATTAATCAATTGATGTGATTTTGTGCAGTTTTATCTTCTATTCTCTTCCTGCTGCATCTGCTATAGGTAGCTTGAATTTGCGTGTGACTGATTGAACTTTGAAAGGAAAGTAGTTTAATAGGCTAAAGTTTGTGTGATTGTGAATAAGTTGAGCGGGTGTGAAATCATTGATTTCTCAAACGAATATGTCTACCGAGGCGTTTTTCGTTGCAGTAATGTCTAATTGTTCGAATTACTCATGATCAGGTGAGACATTTATTGTAACATTTGCTACGCCATCACCACGCTCACAAAATATGATATCTTAGGCTTTTCAGCAATTTCTAAATATTTGCTTGAAAAAAAATAAGATTAATGAAAGAAAAAATGAAGAAAGGAATTGAAACAGACGTAATGTTCAGCTGTGATCGATAACAATAATTTTTGAAGAATATTTGTGTAAAAAATGTAAAAATATGTTTCGAATTTTAGTGAAAACCATTTTCTCTTACCAAAGCTCACGTTCGTCATCAATACAGTTTTAGAATTCTTTGTTTCATTTCTTTGAAGAACAAAAAGTCCATTCATATCTATCAGTCATGTTATGCAATTCTTTATTTCTCTCAGTCTCTTCTTTTACTTCGTCCGAGTGATCTTTGCTACAATGTGCTTGCTCTCTTTCTTCTCCTCTTCAACCTTATCATACTTCCTTTATATAACTCGCTCATTGTTAGTGTATCTGCCTATTCTATCGTTTCGCCTTATCTCTAACACTTAAAAAAGAAGATACACAGTTTTTTGGAATAGCTTGGGCAAAAAGTTTCAATATTTTCATTGTATGATCTATTATATTTCCAGTTCCTAATATAAATGCTTAAATCATCAACTGTGACTTGAGTTACTAATTATCCCTAAGGTCAAACTGTGTGTCAAACTGAATGTACAGTCGTAACGTACAGTTTCCACTCAAGTATTTGAAATGACAGACAACCAAAGAACCGAGGACGACGAAACAGATACAGAGAAGAAGAGAGAGAAAGAAAGAGAGGAGCACGTGCTATCTTAGAGCTTACCCTTCCTCTTCGTTCTTGTTTCTTACCCAACAGTTCAAGAAGATATTTGTCTGGTCTCATTTATTTTTCTGATTTGAACGCTGTCTATATTTGGAGTTTATCTTGTACCCTGGAATACTATTAATTCATGGGAATGCTAAGAAGACGTCCATTTAGAACAATGTCACGAGTCGGTATAATCTACAACCTTAACGAATATGGTACTGCCCGGATAATATTGCATGAGAATCATAGTGCAATGGAGGTGAATTTCAATATTTTTTTTCTTCCAAAAAATAACTTCAAAATATATTTTTTCCAATATTTACAAGCTGAAAGCTACTGTACTGTTTTTCACTGATCATATGTAGCTTCGATTTGTTTTCTTATCTGAAACTATCGCATTATCAGAAAATTTAACGAACGATCATTTTTGATTTTTCTCATGCGCATCTGAATATCTAAGGAAATATACGTTTTATAGGGTGTCTTGGAGACCGTAGGAGGTGAGACTATAGTTTTGAAAGGAAAGCACAACACAAACATTCCTAGCACTTCCTCTAATGGAATAGTTAATATGGATGTTATGATAGGTGAGGAAGGAACTTTAACGCTTCCGAAATACAAAGTTGTTCCTTCCAGTCGATGGAGAAGCCGGGTCCCTTTTTGAAGTACATGATGTTGATGTTTATTTTGGTGGAAATACTATTTCTATTGATAACGGAGCTATCAAATTCACAACAAAGGAACGTTTGATCGGAATAAAGTAGGCTTTTGAAAATATTCAAAATGAACAAGAAGTTTAAAATCCGTCACATGTTCTTCAAAAGCAAACCACGCGCTCGTTCCGACGTGAAATGGTGGCTTTAATTTGACTTGCATCACGCGATGTTCTATTTATACGTACTCATCCTGGAGATCGGTTGCATTCATGAACACTTTATCAGTATATCTCTTACCGGGTTATTTCCTCTTTTTTCAGAGCCGAAACCGAAATACGACAGTTTCTTCGCCCATCACTAGGCAAAGAGACAAAAGAAGTTTATGTAGGGCCGATGCGGGTATGCTCAGATAGTTTATTAAAATAGCACACAAAGTAATTTAGATACAACTTCTTGCTAAACATGTATTACAACCTTCCATTCGAAGAGAATCTGTCAGTGACAAATGTGATATTCCAATTTTAGAGCAGTCGGATGACTTTCTAGCTTAATAAAATAAAAAGAACTTGAAAACTATAAATGTTTATATGAGTCTTTAATAGTATAGCAGACGGAAAGCACAACTTTTGAATTGTAATTTCGCTCCATCAATATTTCTCTATTTGTCTTCTGCAGGCTTCAAAATATTCAGAGTATTAGGTGAAATTATGTCCTTAATCTTAAGGTCTGGGCTGTCTGACTGTCTTTTGGCACGTTGATCCTAAGTTATGGTTGTAAGTACCGTAACTGAAACGAAAATACCTGTATAGATGACTCCAAATATTCAATGGTTGGCCTTTTCGGCACGAATTTCCGTTCTAAGTAGTAGCCTGCAGTGCCAATTACAGCGGCAACTGGTAGAACTAAATACCTTGAAAACTTGGTTCCTGAGAAAAAGAAGGAAGAAATTAAGGTAGAATTCTTTCCCACCAACCAAAAGCATACAATATAGGCCACATTACGATCTGAATTGAATTTAGCTAAGAAAAATAAGTGCCGGTGATGATTTACTTAGATGATGAATGATAAACTTGCGTTTTGACGAAACACTGCTCTATTACGAAATACACCCCATACGCGCAAGCAAACTACTCTCGGCGGCTAGCGTATATCTTGTGAATAACTTGACTAAGCATTTTGCAGTTAATTTTTCTTATATCTTACTTATTATAATTAAAAATCAGATAACTAATAAAGCCCTCTCGGCATTCCAGAATTTACAAATGAGCGTTGGCGGCGATATATTCAAGAACCCTCTGGATCATAATGATGACGAAAGTGTAATTAGAAAAGTTCCGCCTGCAACTATTGATATTGATATTAATGCCCCGTCTCATCCCTCTTCTTCCGAGACTCCTATCAACGATCATAGAACCGTGAGTTTTCCTCAAGTTATTTGCAACAAAAGCGTGTTTAACATTCTTTTCACTAGTATTGTTCTGTTTTTTCAGCATCGCACTGAGGAAATCAATGTAGATTTGGACTCTGACAATGCTATCTTGGTCGATATTTCAGATGCCCTCTCTGAGAGGGATAAGGTATCGAATGTACAGGAAATCTTAATCCTTATTCAATAATATTAAAGGTTAAATACACTGTCCATACGAAAACCACTCTCACTGACATGAAAGTTGAGTCATCTGTGGTCAGAGAGCATGAGGAGTTCATCTGGTTGCATTCTGTTTTGGATGAAAATGAGAACTATGCCGGATTTATCGTAAGTTCATCTCACCTTTTAAATTCATGTTTTGAAATTAAGATCCCTCCTGCACCACCTAAGCCAGATTTCGAAGCTTCAAGAGAAAAATTGCAAAAGCTAGGGGAAGGCGAAGCCACCATGACCAAGGAAGAGTTCTTGAAAATGAAACAAGAGTTGGAACAGTGAGTTGAGTGTTCTCTGTTTGTTTAATTTTTTTTTCTTAAAAGGGACTATTTGGCGCAATTTAAGAAAACCGTTGCCATGCACGAAGTTTTCTTGCAGCGCATAGCTGCCCATCCAGTCTTCAGACACGACAGGAATTTCAGAATCTTCCTTGAATACGAAGATGATGTACGTGACTATTCATATATGGAGTTAATAGATAATTACAGTTATCAGTCCGTGGAAAAAACAAAAAAGAAGTTGTTGAATCCATTTGGAAGCGATTTACTCAGTCCGCTGATGAAGTTCTTCTGTCTGGACAGGTTATCTTTTTTCTGTTTTTTGTCTTTAGAGAAATTTATTTTTAGAAAGATGTTGATGATTTTTTCGAGACGGAAAGATGCTATTTGATTGAATATAACACGCATATAAAAGAAGCCGCAGTGAGAGCTGAGAAGATGGTCAGGCTTCGAAAAAGTATGTTTTGCCTTCTCTACATTACCACCTTTCACTTCTATTTCATTACTCTAGAAATCAAATTTTATGACAAAAACTACCTTTTGTTTTTTTACTCGTAACCGGTTTGATCTTGTATGTGATCATTGAATCGTTCTTGTCCGCCTACTATCAAGTTGGCTCTCAGTCACTAACTGTAGCAACATGTTCATTATTAGTTTCAAATTTCAAAACGAAAAAAAAATTCACCTTCGTCATGATAGTCAAATTCAGATTTGCTTCCCTGTATTTCATATTTTTGTTTGCTTTTTCCAAGACCCCTCAATGCTTGCAAGTTTGTTGACTCTTCAATCTTAACACTGACATTGAGGCTCTTTACGAAAACCAATGACCTTCTGACTCTATTCATGAATACTTTTATTATTACTTTTCAGATGTATCGGATTCGTACTCTAAGATTGGTGATAATCTTGAAAGGCTAGCCCGCGGAGAACCTGATAAGCTTCTTGCTCGCACACTTGCACGAAGTTCCGACTCTATGGCGAAGTTGAAAAAAGTTCGGCTCCATCTCGCGAATCCTCTCAAATAATGTTTTTCCTTGTTCAGGTGGAAGCTCGTTCAGCTAACGATGAGGAGTTGAAGCTTACTGACACTCTGACATATTTCACAAGAGACACTCAAGCCGCCAAGGTGAATTTCGTTTTTCCGTTACATCATTCGCAACTTCTGACCACGTTTTGAACATAAAGCTTACATGTCATGATGTTCACGTGTATCTTTTTCTCACACGATGACTTTTCGTCCTCTTGATAAGAGAACAACTTTTGACGCATGCGGCGCCACTTAGCTGCTATCGGTTGTTAAGTGACATTGATCTTTAGACCAAGATTGTCAATTGCTAATTAGCAAAGATTCTTTTTTTAGTATCAACAACGTCATTGATGCAACTTATAATGTTATGTTTTAGGATTTGCTATACAGACGTATGAGATGTCTCGCTAATTACGAAGCTGCTAATAAAAACTTGGAGCGGGCTCGTGGAAAAAACAAAGATATTCCTAAAGTAGGCTCAACATAGTTTCCTTTTCGTTAATTGAAATTGATTAACTTAGGCGGAAGCAGAGCAAGTGGAAGCTTGCAAAAAGTTCGAAGACATCAGCACATTGGCCAAGACTGAATTGAAAGATTTGAAGAAAAGAAGAGTCATGGCTTTCAAGAAAAATCTACAAGACTTGGCTGACCTGGAGATTCGTCATGCTAAGGTATGTGTTCTTATTGTTAAGATGTTTTGAGAAAAAAAAGAAATCACTCACCTCCTACACAAACGCAACCGCCTCTCACGTCAGCAAACGTGAAAATGATTCGAGCGGTTTCATTTCGAAATTCAAATTCCTCTCGTGTTTCAGGCCCAGTTACAAGTGTTAGAGGAATCTTTGGTGAAGCTGAAAGAACTCTAAATAATAAGACTTCTGAAGGACAATAGTATGGTTCACACGGAGCATAATAGGTCTTACAGTACATGGTTTAGTTAACACTTTTTTATAACTCTATGTACAAATGTTTTTATATATGTTTCCTATGGACCCGGTTTTATGTGATATGTTTTTGTCATTCTTCGCAACCCGTTTCTTCCTAGTTATAATCAGGTTTCCAAATTTCTTGTTTTATTTGACCTTTTTATGTATATTACCTTATAAGACTTACTTGACTTGACCTGTAGTAAGATGCCTATAATAATGTTTGATTAAGCGTAATTTCCAAGATTAATATGTATTCTTCACTTCCATTTCGCATTTGACCATTACGTATCATCGCACTGATATTATTACCCTTAAATATGCTCCTCCTCCTTCATTTTTCTCTCGGTTGGTGTTGGTTTTCATAGTTTGTTATGCAAATACGATTATATACCGAACTGGCGCCGCCATCGATGAGATTTCTTTCTAGTCGAACAGTTTCATCGTCGTCATGCTGCATCTACACACTGTGTCCAGAGAGCTCATCTGCTAAATACTTTCAATTCCTTTCTATGGTAGAGAATGTGATAACTATACATAGACTTATACATATTAATTTATTGATCGATAATTTATCTTATATTTACTGGTGCTTAAGTTATTGATTTTTTCTTTTTCATTTTTTTTCATTTTAACGTGGTAAAAGTAATTTTAACTTTTTGTTTTTTCTTACCGGTTCTCGTAGACCGTCAAATACTTTAGAATATTTGTTATGAAATTCTGTTCTGCCTTTTTTGCATATTCCCTTGTTCTCTCGTTTAGCATTCTGGTGCTCGGACACTAAGCGTCTTTTGATAACCGGATTTAGGTCTATCGAGATTATTTTTTTTACTATCTTCCTTCGAAATCTATCGCCTTCATCATTGTTGTGAAACTCTGATTATGGTCTTGGCAACTGTAACCGCAATATTTTCCTCCGGGTGTTTCAACTTATTGTCACATGTCGTCGGAACTCTTCTGTTCCGAAGACTTGTGGATCTTCTGATCTTATGTGCGCGCTCAACTGTTTGACATTTGTTTTCGTTCCATGTCTCGAAGTTCCACCATTTGACTTTCTGCTCATGGATCATTGTCATTTAGGAAAATTATCTTAGACTTTCATAATTATTAGCTCTGGCCTTTCGCCTCTTTTTTTTTCTCTCTTTCTCTTCTCTTCATGTTTTCATTTTACACATTTTCGTTTTCCACAACAACATGGGTGCAATCAGCGGTTGTTTGAGGACTTGCTTTGCTTTTTTCGATATCACATGTCTCATTTTCCTTCTTTTTTTTTCTCGTAGTTATGCTCTATTGACATTGTTTCTTGTCATTATATGGTTACAATACAGAACATGGTCACGTTTCTTCCTCGTGCTCAATCGTTCTCCCCTTCCGATCTTTTTATTCTATTTTCATATTATGACTAACGATAGTCTATCACAATCTATTCTTTGTTCCTTCCGCTCTTTTGATTAAATTTCCGAGTTTCTTTTCAGCATGGGTTCCACTGAAGGAGGTGTCACCTCGACTGAAGGTGTCGCTTGGCCGAACCGCAAAGATGCTTATAAACTAGAAAGTGTGGAGCCCATTGGTATCGGAGCCACCGCTACCGTTTTCAAAGTAATTAATTTCTCAGAAACTATAACTTCCATGTTACCCTTTTCCAGGCTCTTTGTGTTCCTCGAAATGAGAAATGTGCCATTAAGTGCATCAATCTCGAGAAATGCCAAACTTCTGTCGATGAACTTAGCCATGAGATCCAGGTAGCTTCCTCTACCAAATATACCTTCTAGATATGATTGTTTTCAGGCAATGTATCTTTGCTCTCATCCGAACGTCGTCAACTATTATACTTCTTTCGTTGTCGGTGAAGAGTTATGGGTTGTCATGCGCCTACTAAGCTGTGGCTCTATGCTCGATATTTTAAAAAGAAAGATTAAGGTAATTCGCGTATTTTGATTCTGGATTCTGAATATGAATTCAGGCGATCGGAAAAGAACAAGCAATGCATGGAGTCCTTGATGAAACAACAATCGCTACAGTATTGCGTGAAGTGTTGAAAGGATTGGATTATTTCCATTCTAGCGGACAAGTTCATCGTGATATCAAGGTATCTATTGTCATTTTCTGCTTCTTTTGCAGTTCATTATGTTCAGGCCGGTAACATCTTGCTTGCTGATGATGGCTCTGTTCAAATTGCTGATTTCGGTGTCTCCGGATGGCTGGCTTCTTCTGGTGGCGACCTGTCTAGACAAGTAACTAGGCCTGCTTATTTTGTTCAAATTTCTCTTTTTTTTTTAGAAAGTCCGTCACACTTTTGTCGGAACTCCTTGCTGGTAAGTGGATGTCTCAAAACTGAAAAGTAAATTTCCCTTTTCTAGGATGGCTCCCGAAGTTATGGAACAAGTCCAGGGATACGACTTCAAAGCCGACATCTGGAGTCTTGGTATTCTTGCGATAGAATTAGCTACTGGAACTGCTCCTTATCATAAATTCCCTCCCATGAAAGTAGACTATCTTATCTATTTCCGCCCTCAATTACATTTTCAGGTTTTAATGCTCACTCTACAAAACGATCCTCCAACTTTGGAAACTAATGCAGAGAGAAAGGATCAGTATAAAAACTACGGAAAATCTTTTAGAGCCTTGATCAAAGACTGTTTACAAGTAGGATTGGGTATTACCTAAGTAATTATAGTTCTTGATTAACAGAAAGACCCCACTAAACGCCCTACAGCCGCCGAACTCTTGAAGTACTCCTTCTTCAAGAAAGCCAAAGACAAAAAGCATCTTGTCCACGCTCTTATTGAAAATTTGGCTGATGTTCCAGTTATCAGCCATCATAGTAGCGCTAAGAAGGTCTGTTCTCCCTATCTCTATAATTGCTGATGATAAGCTTATGTAGGTTGCTTCTGGAAAGTTGAAGAAAGACAAAGACGGTAACTGGGAATTCGAGTACGATTCACCCCCAGGAAGCGATGAGTCCAGTGATGAAGATGAGCATTGCCCGAAAGAGAGCGACGCAGCTCCACAGGTACAGCCTACCGGTGAGGGGGAACCCCAAACTTTGAATTTAGTGAGTGTGTCTGTTTTACGATTCAGTATGATGATGAAATTTCAGGTATTACGTGTTAGGAATCAACAGCGCGAGCTGAACGATATCAAATTTGACTACACACCCACAGCTGATACTGGTACTCGATCAGCTGACTACTTGTTAAAGTTAATATTTGTTTTTCTTTTAGTTGATGGTATTGCTCACGAGCTTGTGACAGCTGAGTTAATAGACTGTCACGACTTAGTGATAGTAGCAGCAAATTTACAAAAATTAATTATCCACGCCCAACAGAAGTGTGATCGGAAGTCTGTAACCTTTGCCTTGAATTCTGGAGTTGCCCCCAACGAGGTTAAATTCAAATTTTGTAGAACTGGAATTGAACTATGCTTTTAGGTTCCTGATGAGCGGACGCTTACCGGATTTGCTCAGATCTCGCTTATTGATTGATATCAAATGTCGCGTTCAATTCAATCCAAAACTTTATCTTATATTAGGTGTATTGCATAAGTTCGTGGCCCACCTCACATTAAGAATGAAAATTTTCGAATTTATGCCAATTTTTTCTAGAAAATACTAAAATTAAACGATTAAAAAAACTTAAATTAAAAATTTATTTTCGCTCGCCTATTTTTTGATTTTGCTCGAAGATGAAAGAGAATTTTTCTTTTTCAAGATTTTGGTTTATCACCGAGAAAGCTCATTTTGAGCTTATAACCATTTATGGAGTTTCGGCTCCTTCTTACAACTTTTGTGATGAATGGTTCTCCCAGTCTTCTCAGGGAGATTACGATCTTGGGCAACGAACTTAGATATGCGCCTGATATATAGTTAAAGAGAGTGTAACTAAGTTCTGTGTGTGACATGAATATTCTGAAATTTTGAAGAGATGCTGAAGCAATCTCAAGAGCTACTAATTATGCCATATAAGGTTATTAATTAGCTTGCAGCTTAAATCTGTTTGCTGGACTGTTGCTAGACGTTTGTCGTCCTCGTAACATCCTGTTCTCTTGAAATTAAACAGACGTCGTTATGATTGCTATGCGTATCATGATAGCTCTGCTGCTTCAAATCCAATTTAAGAAAACCATTCCATCGGAAATTTAGAATTTTCATGCTTTTAGGTTTAAATTGTAATATTTTAATTGAAAGGGGTCCAGAATCGTGAGCTGGTTTCAGTTTTATTTATTATTGTCTCATATAGTTCCAACAAGAGTTTTTATAAATAAAAGTTGTTGATTTTCATTTCTGGAGGGTTTTTCTCTTGCTTACCTTGCTTTGTAGTTGTTTTTGCTTAAGCACTTCATGTAGTTACGAGCTTATCATACTCTTCTAACTTGAGAATTACAGTCGTGTTTTTACTATTTCTGCTTGTTTTACCTGCGAGTTATTATGATTTTAATTTGTGATGTACATGAAGTATTGAGATGTGCTTAGTTTGCACTTCGCGTGTGAAACTCACGCGCGAAGAGCTTTACTTGAACTTTAAAAGTTCCATTTGAGACTTTTTGTTTATTTAAGGGTTTATTTTATTGTTTTTTTCTTCTTGTAGATCACATAAATAAATAAATAAAGGCAACAGTAATGCGTATATGTTAAGCTCAAACTTTGAGTGTCAACTTCAAGACCAATATGGTATACATCATGAGCACATAGATAACTTCTGTTAATTTAAGCTAAGACTTGATGGAAATTAAGCAGAAAGACTTGATTTGGAAGTTTTTTGAAAGTAACGTCTAATGAATGTCAGACTATCATTGAAGCGTAGGTCAATACTAATGAATTTTAGGGAAATGGCGTGTAGAGAAAACCAAAAATAAATAAATTGGGACGAAATTGGAAAAATGGAAAGATAAAGGTGGATTTTTGGGAAAGGAGGAGAGATACCCGTTGGGCTAGCGAAGACAGGTTACTTGCCAGTATTCGTCATGTAATGGATGGATTGGAACCAGCGGTTTGGTTGGAATCGGTTCCAGAATCCAGGCTCTGTAAAAGCATAATCGTTAGCCACAGCTGGATGAGCTGTTTGATAAGAAGGTGGTGTTAAAGAGTTTTCGCATTCCAAAAAAGGTTATAAGTGGTGACTTGATTAGATACTTCACTAAGAAGATAGTTAATGCTATAACTAGTCTAATGCTCAAGGATTTCTGATGCAATCAGAAAATCTCGAAGATATGAAGCCGATGACTCGGAAAGCATGCAATGTTTAGTTTTTCTATTAGTTGATGAAGTTAGGTTACTAGCTAGACTTGAAGTGAATTATTAATTTTTTTTAGTTTTTCATCGTTGCTTTCAGAATGTCCGATAAAGACACCAAAAACTGTTTCGATCGTGCCGTTACTTTGGGCATCCACACGCGTATACCTTGTTCAGTATGATGATCAATGGGCTTCTGGAAAGCTAACTCCGGTCCTTGTGGAGGAGGAACAGTCACAGGTAATGGCATGAACGTGTGCTTCACAGCCTTTTCTGCAGGATTCTTTTGTGTTTTCTGTTCGACAACTTTTTTCTCAGCAGTCTTGCTCTTCGATTTACTGCGTCTTCTAAAAATAGAGATCAGTTATTTTCTTAAATCTGAATTTTACGTCGTTGTAATTGCAACGGGGGTAGTGGGTTCCTCTTCAGATTTTTCAGTTACTTCCTCTTCCTCTTCAGGCTCTACAGATTCTTCTGGTAGTATAATCTGAATGACCACATAAAGGTGAGAAACTAGCAGAAGGTGAATATACAGGAGTTGTTTCTTCAGATTTTTCAGTCTCCTCTACGCTAACAGGGGCATTCGTAGTCGACAAAAGTTTTTGCCAGAATGGAATGTATTTAGCTGTTGGCTTTCCTTTTTGTCCAACAGTGAACCTGAAATTGCGAAAAACATTAACATCGAACGCATATTGAATCGAACTTGTCCCAAATATTTCCTTTAGTGGTTGTAACTTCTGGCTGAGCCGTTGTGACAGGAGCAGCCTTCACTTTTGGTCTTGGGGAAGCTCTCTTTTTCTCTTGGCTTGGGGGCTGAAAAAAGAGTTGATTTTTGTATTCTCATGTTATTGGATAATGATCATGCAAGGTTTCAAATCGCCACAACGTGCAAAACAAAAAGCAAAAAACACCGAGAAGTTCTTTCAAAACAACTGGGGAAAATCTATTGGAAAGACAAACGCAGCCCTCAATACCTGAACTTTTCCAGATTTTTTCGGTTTTTGTGTAGTTGTAGGTTGAGCAGTCGTCGTTTCTTCTACTACTTCCTCAGAGGTGGAAGCTACGAGTTCTTCTTCTTCTGGAGTTGGTTCCGTGGTAGCAGAAGCAGCTGGTGTACTAGGGCGGCGGGTCAACAACTTCAGGCGGTTCAACTAAATGATTTCATGCGGGTTTCAGAAAATAAGATATGCTAAATTTTCAGAACGTATCAAAAAGAAACTAAAGTAAAACTCAAAAGACTTCCTTCTCTACGCAAATAAGGTAGTCTCATGCAAAAGCTGAAGAAGAAAAGCTCCAAACAGAAACTGCTCTAGACAATCAGAGAAAACAAAACGTATGGACAAACCAATAGTGCTTGCAGGGGAACAGATCAAACTTACTCTGGTGGTTTTTTCAGGTACAATATCTTCTTCATCAATGATTGAAGAGTTAAGAAGACCAGTCTGAGTGTTACAGATGGTGGTAGCATAGCATCTTGATAACATCTTAAACAACAAGCTCTTCGGTGACTGAGATTTTTTCAAATTACTTGATGAATGTAAGCTTTAGCTTTGTAACCATCCTTACGATATTTGGCAATGAAAGTATCGAAAGTTCCAGACTGACGACAATAGGCGGCATCAGATGCATCTTGACATTTGAAAGAAAGCTTCTCTCCTGAACAGAAATTCAGTTGAGAGCGTGCTTGGCAGATGAAACAATACCTCGCTCATGACAATAGTTGAAACACATCACTCCGAATCCAAGCTGTTGACAAGCTCCATGACGGGCTTTGTAGATGGATGAGCATGTTTTCTTATACTAATTTCAGAATGTCAGAAAGGTTCATATAACTGATAGAAAACCTGAAAGTTGCTTCCAACGGGATCCTTAGCACCCGATTTTGGTAAAACCCAGGTTTTGTCAAGAGCGCGAATAAGTTTGTTCAAACGGTCCACGTCAATAGACTCACTCCGTCCGGGGCTCTGAGCCTAAAATTGTTTAAAGTCTTCATCATCTCTTCAATTTTGTTCCTCCGTAGATGGGATCATCATCGGTCAATAATTGAATTAAAAAAAAAGACAAACAAACTGATTCTCGATTGAAGTTGTGCGTTGACATTAGGATTTACAGATAACTTTTGATTGAACTTTTTAATTTCGAACACACAACCGTTCAATGAGATCATGAGATGCAAAATGAATTTGATAGTTTTAAATGGTCGATACGCCAAATACGGTAGAAAAAAAGAAGGAAAACTTACTGCATTCTTGACTGGTCTGGCTGGAGCCTGAGCTACACTCAATCGTGATTTAGTCTGTTCAATGGCACGATTCACAGCAGCTTGACGGGATTCTGAAAATGTAAAAAAATAATACCCGAATGGGTCATTTCCTTTTTTCAATCAGAACGGGGAAAAATTTATTTTTCAGTTAGCAGAAAGTCTTTTGAGGTTTACTTGGCCACCGGCGATCAGGAAGAATTGTGAGAAAAGTTTTAAGCCAATAGCAAACAAAAAGATAAAGGTGTGAATGTTGTTTTATACGATTGGCTATTTCATAGATCTGTAGACATTTACTTATTATTTATCAATTGAAAGCGAAAGGGAAAGTTCAAATTTCTTAGGCGTATTTGAAGAAGTTAGAGCATCGCTCATTTGCATGTCCTATTTCATGTCATCAAACTCCACTATTCATATTCTTCTTTCTCATCATGTTCTTCTCTTACATTTCTACTTTTCTTCTGCGAGTCTCGTTTCTGCGTGACTATGGCACTCGAGTATGACTTCTTTACGTTTGAGTAGAAGAGTTGTTTGCGGAAAACTAGCTCTCTGAGCAGTGAAGAAGAAGAATGAGATGAATCTTCCGTTGGATAGTTCTAACTGACCACGCGACTCATCTCTTATTCGCAGACCTTACTGTCTTTCTCTCAAATCTCTAATTGAACTAAGCTATCTCTGTGTATATAAGTATGCTCGACATATGAAACTACGTGTGATGAATAAATAAAAGAAACATGCGCAACGTTGGCTTCCTATGAATCGTACCTGAAAAATTTTTCTCTCCATCTTCAACGCCGTCTTCATGTTTATTGTATTTCAAGCTTATTCATGCTCACGCGTCATGTAGAAATGTTCTTAGATTTTGAACGTTTTTATTATAGAACAAAGAGCTTGATCGAAAAGCTGCTTCATCTCTTCAACTTTCGTCAAAAAAACATTCGAAAGCTTCAATTCTTCTGGTCAGTCTTTGAACTCTTTTTCATGTCTGCTTTTTCAACAAGCACGGACTATTGGAGCCAGACAAGTGCTATGATTCAGCTAACGACACAAGAAGCAAATAACGGAAAGAATTCATTACAAAAATAGAATTGTAAGAAACGTCACCGTAGGTCAAAAGGTGAGAAGCTTAGATAGATTTCAAAGTTCATCCTCCAAATATGGTTCAGAAATCAGTGTCTTTGTGAATGTGTTTGAATTTAAAAAAAGTGAATGAAAAACAATTGTTCTCAGACATCGTGTTCTCTAACAAACTCAATGCTTAGAAAGACAATTGAACACGAAATAAGCTTAGAAAGGCTATCGCAAAACAGTCAAAAGCTCAAAAATGCTATCAAGAGTATTTGAGTGGTAAGAGAAGTGATCGGCGAGAGAATGGAAAAATCAATCATTTAATCAAGTTTCGTAAGTTAAGGATGATATTACAGATCAAAACGTGAGTAGCGGATCTACTTTGAATTGAAAAAAAGTGAAAAAATATTGAAATGGATAACCATACCTGCACCTGCAGAAACTGTTCCCAAGCAGAGGGAGACGAGAAGAATTAGTCGCATATTGATATAGTTTGATAACTGTTGGATGAATATCTAAAAATATAATAAAATGATTGAAAAGTACAGTTTATAATTCATGAAGAAAAGTGAAAGACATCATGTTTATAGACATGCGAGGAATGTGAGGTTCTTGTATCCTCCACATACCTCACCGGCACCTATCGCGCACAGTTTGGTGAGGGAAGAAGAAGCTGCTAGCAGTACGCGCCCCAGGGCTTGTGGGCGGAGTCAGAGTGGACAAGGTTGACCCCGGGAGGTGCTCTCGGAGGACTGACCTGTGCGGAGAACGTTTGAGTCTGTTGGGTGTGTAGAGGTATCGAGAGAGAATTAGGTAGATACAAGCATTGCGCGAGAAATAACAGAACAAGAGAGAATGATAGATAAATGAGGCGAAAAAGAGTTGAAATGTGTGCGAGGCTGGTTTGATGATGTGAATCGCCGGTCGGATAAAGGTGATGAGGTCGAATGTCGACAACGGATAACACGCTCAGTCACGATATCAGAATGAAGCGAAGTGAATAAAGAGCAAGATAAAGAGAGACCAAGAGATCGCAGGAATTTTCGCTTGCTGGAGCTAATGTCCAGATAATTGGGACAGATATTGCATCCACGAGCAGATGATATGCATTTTCACACACAATAGACAATGCAATGCTCTATAAATCAAATATTAGCAGAACCAGGATTGACCTTTTTCATTTTCAGATGAATAATGATGTTTGACATCTGAATCAAAATGGGTTTTCATAACGGACAAATATTATGTGCACACCTGTTTATTTTAATTCCAGGAGTTTTAATTTGTGTTGATTAATTCATTAATTGCACGCTTCCCGATGGTCACGTCAATGGTCATCAAAGTTCACGTAAAAATACGTGAACATCATAAATCATATTTTCATTTTTGCTTTGAATTTCGAACAGAACGGTTGTTCTTCATATCTACAGTGATATGTGTTTGCAGTTTGAAAACTTGAACTGTTTCGGCAATTATCATTCTTCAGAGGGATGAGCTCGAAAGTCCTTTGACTGAATAATTTGCGCTGTGAGGTGATATAACAACAACGCACAAAAATTTTTGAAGAGCTTGCGAGAAAGACTGAAATCTCAATTTACGTTCTCTTTTGTTCTTTTTTATAATTTCTTTTCTTCATTTATCTTTTCAATCACTTCATTTTGAGATAAGCCCGACACTCGCCTCTAACAACATATGTGTGCTTGAAGAATACGAGGAGCTTAGAGCTCAACCACTTATAGACATTTTTAACATCTAAAAAAGGAGAAACTACTCATCACGATTGAAAATAGCGTGATTTCTATTGTGAAAAGCAAAAAATAGATCTAAAAAATAGATTGCTAAAATTGCATTGTTTTTGCAAATAGCTTGTTGTACAAATGAATGCAACCTGGTCTAGGCGATAGGTCAATTATGTGGTTTTTCGCTTCCAGGGATGTTCTTACCACCAAAAATCAAATTCGAGATAGTCGAAAGAGTTTGTAGAAGCGAAAAAAGATATTGAAACCAGAAAACGAGATAGATCTACCAGACGATCTGGATCTGATTACCATCTTTGGGCATTTAGAGACATTCAGAATTGAAAGAGGTATTTCATTGATTGTCTTTTGAGCGTTCTCTTCTTGAATTTAAATTTTTTTTTCCAGATTATAATGGCGAGTGACCGACTGTACAAGTATTTCGGGTTATTACTATTGACTATACAGCAAGCGAGGTGAAAACAGATTGATAGTTTGGACATAGATGATGATTGTTTCAGCATGCCTCTAATGGCTCGATATTCGAGGTATAAGGAAGAATCCGAAATGTTCTTTACAACTGTTAATGTATTCATTATGGAAGTTATTAAGCTTGTAGTTTGTGCAGCTATAGTGATATATACGTCAAGATCATTGAAAACGTTAACTTTCCAATCTCATTCCTTGTTGATATTTCGTTTTTAGATTTCTGAAAGAGCTCAAAGCATCGTTGTACGATAATCGAGTTGAAACTATCAAAGTTTGTGTTCCAGCATTGATATATACCGTTCAGAATAATCTGTATTATATAGCCTTAACACACCTTGAAGCTACAACCTTCTGTGTAAGTGTTCATTTTCTTTTCAAACAAAACAATCTAAATTTGGTGTTTCTGACATTGTTTGCTCCTCTCTCTCTATCTCTCTCTCACTCACACTTTTTCTCTTCTTTCGCTCTCTAACTAGTGCGTTTTGTTTTGAAAAACAAAGACGTTTCCAAAAAAGGTAATTCTCGTATTTGCTCAATTTATGCAACCTTTCATACGAACTTGCATTATCTCGATAGGAATTGGTTCAAAGCAAACATTTGTTCATTATGTTCATGAGCGATCTATGCTTTACGTAAAGATAGAAGGAACTGTTACAGATAGCTTATCAAATGAAGATCTTCACTACTGCAATTCTTATGTATTTCCTATTGGGAAAACGTCTGTCCTCAAAGCAATGGATAGCTCTAGTAGTTTTAGTAATCGGTGAGCATACTTTATGCGTACTTTTTACTAAAAATCTATTTTGTAGGAGTTGTTGATGTACAATTGGTCTACTCGCCTCCTTCAAGCAAGCCAGGAGTTGAGCAGAGTCCTATTCTCGGATTTATCTGTGTGGTGACGATGTGCTTTACATCAGCTTTTGCTGGTTTGTTATCGTTCAAAAAAGCGTTGAAACAAATTCTTTCATAGGAGTATACTTGGAGAAAGTACTCAAAGAGAGCACAACTTCTGTGTGGATGCAAAACGTACGAATTGCAATGATCGGATTGCCTATTTCCTTCTTCTCCATGTGGTACTACGATTGGGACAATATCCAAAAACGTAAAATAGTTTGAAATTCAAAACAAACATTCATTACGATGAGAAGAAACCCGATCAGTTCGGAACTGAGAACTTCTTGTTTCGTTGCAATACAATAGCAAGGCCTTAGAGTCGTTACAGTTGCTCTGAGTTCCTAATCTTTCTTCACCATTACACTTCTCTCTCCGTTTCTGAGTCAGATTCTTTCGCATTCATCCCAATATGATCCTACTAGTCTTGATGGTTCGAGCCTGTTTGAGAGAACGACCGTATTTGGTCTTTCTCATCTCTTTTAGAACTCAAAACCGCTCTATGACATGCACCAGCTGAAAGAGTATTGTGCGAATGAGACGAAGAAAAAAGAAAAGCTTTTGTTGGCAAAAGAAAGGAGAAAAGATTGTTGCAATTTGCGTTAAGATAAATAGAGGTCAAGAGCGATTAGAATAGTTCATTTCTTAAAAAGGTGTGATCGTTTGAAAGGAATTTCAAAAAATTGCTTGCAAGAGCAAACATTCATCAGATCACAACTACCTTGACCTTTATGATTTCAATTGAACTAATCTGAACGGAGCTTCTTAACTATTGCATTGCAGACGGAGCATTGAGAGGATGGGATTTTCTGGTTTTATGCTTGACTGTCACCAATTCCGTTGGGGGACTGCTCATTTCCATCGTCATCAAGTATGCTGATAATATACTAAAAGCTTATGCCCAAGTACATACACACATCATACGATTGAAACATACTATATTACAGAGTATGGCTATTATGGGAGCAGCGTTCGGCTCATGGCTGCTCTTTGACTTCAACCCCGGTTTCTTTTTCATGGCTGGATCCCTTCTAGTCATTATATCTATTATAATGTACACGACAAACCCGTACAAAGCTCAATCGACAGAGTTCGATTTCAAACGTTTCATATCAAGTTCAGAGAACAGCAATAACTTGTTGATAATTAAACCTACCAAAGGTCTGGCCTTGTAATATCCTGGTGATCATACGTTTACGAGACTTGTTTATTTATTTATTTATCTATAATACAATATCAATTTGTATATAACAGACTTGTTATGATATGCTTGATGCTGTTCATTCATCCTTCTTAACTTGTTAACCATGCCTGTCTTTCCCATCATATGATCTTTTGTATTTCAGCAAAAATCATTATAGTATAAGCTGAAGTTGAAAATAAGTTTAACTGTTCGAATACAACCGCTCTACATAAATGCAATTTTATAAATGACTGTGTAGCTCACTGTACATTGAAGGTTGAGCAGTTGGAACACTAGAAAAAAGAAATACAAAACTATGTTCTTCGTTTTCAAAATAAAAGTTCGATTGTTTGAATATTTGTATCATTGCTATATCCGCTGAATGAAATACAATTCAGTTATTATACTCATTTCTAATTCATGGAGAAGTGTTCTCTTACGTTTTTGAGATATGAAGATGTTTTCAAGATAATTTCAACTTTCCATTTTTACTTTCTACCTGTATCTTTAATCATCAATTCATTCGCACTCTATGTGATGTTAGCTAAAACACCTTCTAGCTTTGGGAAAATCAAAATTTTCTTTCGTGTTAATCAGGTATCTCAAGTTTTCAGCTCATCATTGTAATCATTCCTTTTCAAGATACTCAATTTGACATGCGACGCTCTCATGAGTGGCATTATACAACCTGCTCCGTTTTATCCATACTGTTGTGTTGCAGTGTTAGGCCCAATAAAGTATATAATTCACAATCCAGTCATAAGCTATGTAAGATCTACACTGTAAATATGAAACTTTTCAATTACTTCAGGCAATTATCTTCTTCCTAGTGATCGTCTCTGTGAGTACGGCTATCGGAAGTCTTTTTTTTAGATATCAGGCTATTCTTGATAAAAAATCTCTTTTTTCTGAAGAGTCACATATCATATACACAACTGCTGTTATTTGTTTGCTTTTTGGAGTGAATATCATAATCGCTATTATTATTGGAGAGACTTCTGACGAAGATAGAAGGATAACCTTTCTGCCGGTACTCATGCCCTTTCTTCAGCTGTAGTTGAATACTTACAGGAACATCCATCCTTCGAAGTATTTTTTACCTATGAAAATACTTTTGCTGATCAATGTATGCCAAACTATTTCTATCTCATAATTACATTATGTTTGTCTGAAGGTAAGTGAAAGAAGTTTTCTTCGACAGCCTTCTTGCAGGATTATTAGTAAGTTGGGGATTGTTTTCCATTATTGGATGTATCAAAACTCTGTCCTACACTGGCTTTACAGTCAGTGAGAAAACAAAAAAATTGCAAAAGAAATTTACAATTTGTCTTTTGATTCAGGTAATATAATCTTTAAAAATCGCATATTCACTACTTGCAGTTTGCCATTCCATTAATTATGGTTGGGTTGCCATGTTCGTATATAATTCTCACCATGGTTCTCGATATTTGTACTTCAGAAACATGGAGTAAGTCCTGAGTTTTTTCTTTTTTCTCATATCTAACAAGTTTTCAATATCACTGCTTATCTGAGTATATCGGTGCATTCGGTTATCTTCTCCATCGTGACTCTCTTGCTAACAGATAGCTACAGGATGTATTTGTTCCCATTCCTGAAAAATGTAAAGTACTGATGTGTCGTTACCTGAAACCTTTTGTTCTCAGAAAATTCAGCGCAGCCATACTCTCGATCCAACAAATGCGTAATACATACAGATAAATAGAATTCAATGGTTTGGATTATAATGCACGACTTGAGCACGGTTGGCTCATTTGAATTAGTCTGGATTCTACGTATCCGTTTATTTTCAATTTTTCAATATTCTAATTTCAACTCAGAACTCCTGTAGCATTTTAGCATTAGAGCGCTTTTGCTTTGTTTTAGCTCGTGAGTAAAGCTAGAAATCTCTTTCACATTAGAATCGAGCATCTTCTACTTTTTAAACTTGTTGCTCTGTTCGTCGTCATAAACGTGTATTCATGTTATTTTAAAATTCATCTTCATGTTGCTGAAACAGCATTGTTCAAACTTTAAGTTTGCCGTCGTTTTATCTTGTAAATAAAAAAGAATACTTCTGGCTTTCTTCTTCAATTGAATACCATATTCAGATTTCTTTCGTGTAATGACAATCGAATGGGACTGGAGAAAGTGAAAGATTTTTTAAGTGATTATCATGTTATCGTCAAAGACGATTGGGTGACCCAGGCTATTCAAGTTTGCAAGGACTATGGGTGCAACAGTTCGGTATGTCCAGTTTTCTATACTTGATATCTGTAGAATCATTTTAGTTACAACAACTTTGTGCTTCTGTATTAGATTTGTTTTTGAACTCTGATCTTCTTGAAAGTTATGTTGCTCCCATGAAAATTCCTGCAGTAGCTGTCAAAGTAGTAATCACCAAGCCTATCATCTTCCAAGTTTCATCCATTTTTTTAAATATTTTCATCTACAGTATTTCAGATCACATCAGCTTTTGACATATCGAGACCGCTGTACGAACAGTTCTGTGAACTAACGCACCACAAAGATGACTTGAGTTGGTTTCATGGGGATGATATCGAAAACGTGGGTTTAAACTCGTCGAGAACTTTGTCACATGCTGTTATAGGATACCAAAGAAAATCCTCGATCCTTACATCCACGGAAAAGAATAATAAAATTGAGTCTTTTCGACGGAACGAACATGATTTCTGGTCTTGAGTTCGGCTCTCTCCAATGTGTACCATCAGATGTTAGACTAGGAGCTAAGGTTTCTCAACCACTGGATTAGTATCAAAACTTTTCCTCTTTAGATCATCTTAACCTCAAGAGTTGTATGTAGAAAAGGAGTCATGCTTTTGAACGATAGCAACTGTCAGGTTAGGGTGTACCGAAATCAAAACTTTCTTTTTCCAGCTGCTTGGAGGCGATATTGAAGGTTTGAATTCCGTTGCCGATCCTGCTCAGAAGTATGCTGATCGTCTTGGCATACAGTATTCAAACGGGAAAAGGTAATAAACATTTTATTATTCTGGCATGATTGATCTAGAGTGCCATCGCTGAAAGCTCCTGATGCATTTGCTCCAACAAAGGCGAAATCCAAATCGTCAAAAGTAGCTGATACTTCGCACAACTCCACCAATGGGTATACCGCAGAAAAGTCTTGTGTTTTCATATTAACTATCTCCAGAAATAGCACCTTATCTCCTTTTCTGGTTAAAATGCCACGTAAAAGCCAACCATCTGAACTCGACAGTACAACTTGCTCAGAGGCCGCTTTGGTTGCCCAGCCTCTCCGGATGAAGGAGGTAGGACTCCTAAACGTTTAATTAACTTCTTGTTTAGTATCCATATACCAAACGAATTCCTCCTCTCAAGTCTACTACCCCATTCGATAAAACGACAGAGCTCTCTTCATGTTCTGCACTCGTTTCCTCCTTAGGAAGTCCAGAACAGAGTTCGAAGAGTTCTGTGTCAAACACCTCTATTTTGGGAACCTCTGCAGCTGAGATTATTGAGTCGTGCTCTAAGCAGAAGCTACGCCGAAGCAATATTTCTGAACGGAGTACAGGAACAGGCTTTGTGAACTTCTATATATTTCATTTCAGTTAATAATGAGAAAGAAAAAGATTATATGTCAACCAAAGAAGTCAACGAAACATCAAAGGAGGTCTATGAAACAGTGGTACCTCTTAGACCACACATTTCTTCAAATAAGGTATTCCTTGTTCTATATTGATTTCATTAATCTTTTTAGTTGGCCAGAGGCGACTTCACCACAATGACACTCCCGGATAGCTATGCATCAACTTCTTCTGTTAATAAAAAGTTTGTAATAACGCTCTAACTTTATGTGTACAAATTTCAGAGCTGTACCATTGAACTATTGCCCTCCTACTTATTGCAACACTGACTCATCTAGCAATGTAAGTCCTCAGGACTCTAATGTAAGCGTCATACCAATGTACAACTAACTTTCATCTCCTCAGCATTTATATGGATTTCCCTCTCCAAAGAAAGTTCCGAATATTGAAACAAGAGCTATCAAGAAACAACATAGTGTTGTACAGCCCTTCAAAACACAGTCTGAGAAGAGTTTTGAAAAGTTAGTTCAGCAATAAGCTTTCTGTTATCTCTCTCTTCAGAGTCATGGGTCCTAGCAACTATAGTAGAGGAAGCATGCATCTTACAGATAATAATAATAATATTTATAATGTTAATAGTTGTAACAATAGTAATGATGATCTTATGGATAGCTTGAACATAGGTTAGTGCAGATACGCCCGGTACTTACAACCTTTGTTTTACAGTAGAATCTCCTAACATTTCTTCGTATCGCCTGCCATGTGCGAAATCAATTGATATATCGGTTCTCTTTCAGTCTCTTCTTTAACCCATGTTTACATACTTTTTAGAACTCTAGCACTGAATCTTTCATACCTCCCATAGCTTTAGAGAAACAACTGCGTCTTCCTCCTCTGGTAACAAGGTTCTAATGAGTCCGTAACACTCTTCGCGATTTAGACTAAACCAAATCATGCAATGCACAATAAACCTGCAACAGGATCTCCTCGGAAAGCAGATATGATCAGTTGTGCTTCCAATTCTTTTGCTGTTCCCGAGAAAAGAGTTCGAACAGATATTCTATCAGTAGTCCCACATTCAGCTGTGCGCGAAGTACGAATTGATGTGCTATTGAATATAACTTGTCTATATTCAGCTCCAAACAACAAGAGTCTTCTCAGACGAAGAACCGGATAAATCGATTGCCCTACAGGTACATTCATGGTTTTTCTCAAAACTGATTATGTCATTAAGGATACACTTGCGGACCCCAAGATCACCATGGTTGAAAAATTCAAAAGATTGAACATTGCCTTACTAGAAACATCTTTACGTAATAAAGCTTTCTGGATGCTACCAAAGGTCGTTCTGATCCAAGTGAGTGCGTCGTGATCATAGAAGATTGATCATTATTCTAGGGATTGTGTCATGTTCCAACTGATTTGAAAGCTCGTAATGGTCATTGGGTTCTTCATATCCATGTCAGTGACGAAAGCACAGATCGTTTGTACTGTGAAGTCAGTCCGATACTGTTGGACAGAATGTTAGGTTTCACAGTTCAGTCTTGTCAGGTATGATTTGCTAGCAGTAACATGTCAAATAAGAATTATCAGGATCCTATCGTTATTAGGAACAAAGCTGAGATGCAACGGCGGAAAGTAAGGGCATTATCTGTAAGTTGAATTCATCCCATACGACTATCAACACCGTTTCATTCAGGTAGCGCACTCCCTATTACGTCTTGATTTGATACTCTCAGTCGAGATGTATCCAGAACGTGATTCTGTGCCACTCATTTTAGACGTGAAGACTATTTCAGAAATGTTGAACGTAATCATTTAACTTGGTTGCCATCGCAACTTTTTGTTTTTCTTTAAAAGCTTTTTAGAAATGCTTTTTTTCGTTTTCTTTTTTATAACCAGAGTTCACTTTGTTTTATACTTGTATGATCATTCCAATCCTGTAAATAACTTCTCAAAAACCTCGAAGACAAAATAAAAGAGATAATTTTGTACTTGCGAGAGCAACTGACTAGTATAGTCCACAAAACGGATATAAGTAGTGAAAACAATGAGAAAACGTTGTGACTTCACGAATTCTCCAACAATTCAAAGCTTATCCGTACTCGACCAAAGAATATGATACAGCAGACATGGAAGATTTGAAATACACGCTAAGATAGCCGGCCGAGTTTGACCCAATAAGATATTACGCCAAAAGGTGCTCTAATGCTAAAATGCTGCAAAATATTGGTTGAAAGAACGAAAACATCTGAATAATCCAACAAATCAAGGAAAATTTAATTAATTCAACTAAGAATGAACAAACTAAACTCTTTCTTCCTCATTTATAACTTTTTCAATCAAAAAACGATTGGAAGCGTAAGTATTAACGCGCAATGCTTTGGTGCATTTTGGCGTGGGTTAAAATTGAATGTAGCTTTATCCCTTTTCAAACTTCCATTTCTCAATATTTCCTTTTAGTTATTTCTAGTTTACAATCTTAGTTTTCATCATTTCCAATGGCTGATCCACTCCAGCTGTTATGTGAATATGCCAAAGGAAAAGTAGTTGCAAAGGAAATCATTCATGTATGTTGTTTCTTCACTACTTTTCCAACAATTCCTTCAGAATGATGAAAAGTATATAGCTTTTGGGGATTATGCCTATCCTAAAGATACTCCAACACAACTCCTGGTTAGTTTTCTTTGTTTTATCTGCATCATTTCCGTTTTTAAGGTATACGGAAAGGAAAATGAGCACTATAGTATCGAATCTATCATGTTTTTATGGGATCGAATGCAACTTACCCATACAGCTTATGTAAAAGAAGCTGCAGGTTGTGGTATTAGGGCTGTTACTCGTCCCGACAGGTTTTTTCATTTCTCCAGCCTTGCATCATGTTCATTTTAGACGTGATATTCTTGATTATTTAAATGGAAGACGAGCGCAGTTGCCCAAAAACTCTGACTCTCGTATTCCTTCGAGTGCTCCTATCCCAGTTTCTCGTTTACTACCTGAGCCGACAGAACCAGAGAGCAAGAAGGCTAGATTAGATCCAGCTATTGATATTAAGTAAGATCAAACAGCGTCTCAAATTAAAAATTATCAATTAAGAAAAGCAAAGACTGTGCTGGAACAAACAGAGCTCCGTGCTTTGAATGAAAATCTCACGGCTGACAAGTAAGATTAAATGGAAATATATAGGCTAATCAATTAATGTAGAATTGCTGCTTTGAAGAAAAAACGCCTTACGCATCAGAAGAAGAATATTGCCGTTGTCATTGATGAGTAAGAGCAATGAATGAAATGAAAAAACAGTACGCCATTGTAGGGAAGGTGATCCAGCTGCTGAAGGTACTGTGGCAGCTGTATTCGATCGAGAGTGGAAAAGCAGAGAGCGTGTTTGGAGAACTAGGGAAAATTGCTTAGATGCTGCTACTAAAGATTTTACTCCTTTGCTGGAAATGCTGAAAAGTCTGAAGGTTAGAGTTTCAGACTATAACTCAGGGCAACAAAGAAATTTCAGGCGAGAGAAGATAAGGAGAAGCAACAGAAGGCTATGAGCCAATACTTACCTCCAAGTAAACCAAATGCTCCTCCTCCAAAGCCAAGACCACAGACTGGTTACAGTAGATACGATCAAGAAATTTTCAACAAGGTTCTCGTTTCTCTCGTAACTCTCAAAAACTTTGATTTTCTTAGGAAATGAACTCTGACTTCCAAATAGATGGAGATTTATCTTTTGTCGGAACAAATCTGCAAAATCTTAATAAAGGAATTCCTATTGAACGAAAGCCTTCCATCGCTCCAGCCAAAGCTCCTGCTCCTGCTACTGCTCCAACATACGGTTCGAACAAACGGAAAAAAGTTGCTGATGTTATAACGTTTTTTTCCAGGACGACCAGCAGCGCCAAGTTCCTCCACTAGACCAACATCAAGTTCTCCTGACATGCCTAGAAGAAGAACAAACCGAACTCCTATTATTATTATTCCTTCAGCGGGTACGAGTCTTATAACGATGTATAATGCTCAAGATATACTACAGGTTAGTGCTCACGGTTGTTTCAGTTATAACTTTTTTTTTACAGGAAATGCGTTTCTTAAGTTCTGATGCCAAAAAGAACGATGGTGCTAAAAGAGAAAACGAGGTGCAAGTCCATCGTAAGCGAGGAGATAGAGGAGATGTAACTGGTGAGTTTCAACCTGAAAAAACAGAAAAATACCATCTTTTGCAGTCCCCTATCGCGTGATAGACAATGTTTTCAAACTAAATGATGAAGAATGGGACCGAGTAGTTGCCGTATTCGTAATGGTTTGTGTTGATTTCGAATATCAATCTAGTGACTACTAACAGGGGCCTGCTTGGCAGTTCAAAGGATGGAGATGGAGTGGGAATCCAGTAGAAATATTCTCTCATATTCCCGCCTTCCACTTGCATTACGACGATATGAAGGTATGTGTTTACTATATTTGTTTGTCTCATTATCTATGAAATAGGTGGATTCGAATGTTGCTAGATGGAATGTGACCCTATTGCCCATTTCCCGGCACAAAAGGCATTTGGATAAAGCTCGTTTGGCGAAGTTCTGGGATACCCTAGACCGACATATTGTAAAAAATAAAAATTATCTTCGTCATTAACATGTTTGTAATAGATCTCAGATGTTTGAGTGTTGTTCTAATTTCTGTGATACAGAAATGGATTGTTTGAATGTCTTGTTTTCTATTGTTATTTATCCCTTATTAATACCTTATTCTTTAAGTAAATGTCAGACTTTGTTTTTGTACAGTTGTTATTTAAGTTCGTAATGAAAATATTTTATCGCCAAAAACCATTTTTTCATGACAAAATTTACTTTTTATGCGTTTTCATCTTTCTCCTTTCAGATCAACCAACAGCTTGCTTATCAAAAATGTTCTGTTCGATCAATAAAATTGTTTAGTTTTTTGACTTTTTGGGTGTCTCGTTTTTGAGTTTTACAAAAGAGGATGGTGACTACGTGCCGAATACAATTTATTTCATTCAGGTTATTGGGAAGTTCAGTGTTAGCTTTGCGTCTTGTGTTGTTTGGCATTCTGTAAACATTGGCAAGGTCGATTTTACCATCGACCATGCTATTACATTGAAATTGGTTTTCTTTACAAAAACCTCAACTGCCTCTTTACATTCCGTTTCAAATCATTCTCACATTTGTGTTTTGCTCACTTCTTACTTTCAGATGGCCGAAACAACCGTTAACATGAGAGATAGGCTAGCCGTAAGTAAAAACGATGTTCAAGCTTAATGATGTTGGGTTTCAGAAAATGGCCATTGATGGGCTCGTAGCTACAGCAGTTACCATCGGTTATAAACTCGACCTCTTTAAAGCCTTGGCAGAGATTTCGTCTCCCGAAAAGTGAGTAGGAGGTACTGTATGTGTCAATTTTTGGTTCTTACAGTCCAACTACACCAAAGTTAGTAGCTGAAAAGGCTCATTGTAAAGAGAGGTACAGAGTAAGGTCTTCGTATAATCATTTTATATTCAGATATGTAGCAGAGTGGCTTGCAGTCATGGCTACGGGAAATATCATTGAAGTCAGTCCCGAGGAAAAATTCTGGATAAAGCCCGAAAATGTCCATGTACGTTATATATATTCCTTGTTCTCTGGTGTAAAGCGCTTGCTCCCTGGCTCCCATGGCAGCAAGAAAGAGAGCGGTTGAACAAAAATTCCAGCAAAACGTAGACATATTTGCCTGTATTTCTGTTTTTTGAGGACCTCACGGTCGACAATCAAGGACTCTCTCAGTGTATGTACTTGCCTTGTTTCCTAAAACCCTACGAAAACTTGCTTGAAGTATTCCGCGAGAACGGACCACCTGGTTAGTCTGCTCAATACCATACATTGGGATATATATATTCAGGCTTGAAGTATTCGGATTACAACGATTTCTACGATGTCATGAACAGAGAGAGCAAAGTATTTCACAAAGAGCATTTCATAAAGGACTTTTTGCCATCTGTTAGCCCCAGTCTGCCAGTAAATATTTATCATTAATTATATCTGTGATTTCTATTCTAGGATGAGCTGACTAAAGGTTGCAAGATGGTGCTCGATGTTGGTTGCGGATCAGGCTTCCATTCGGCTCTATTGGGTAACATATATGTCTAAATTTGTCAGTCATGTTCTCATTATTTCAGCTGAAGCTTTCCCTGCTTCCAATTTTACAGGCATTGATGTCACTTTGGAAGCCATTTTGGCCGCCAATCAACAAAGGTTCGTCCAACTATCATTATAGACAAACGTTCAAAGATTCAGAGTTGATGAAGGTTTGACATTCGAAAATTTGGCTTTCATTAAAATGGATGGAGGTGATATGGATGCTGATTGGACGGAGAAGTACGATTTGGTTTTGATTGTTGATGCCTGTCATGATCAAATGCGCCCAGATAAGGTAATATTTATTTGATGTAACTGGCAAAATCTATACTCTGATTGAAGTGTTTGAAAGAGATTCACAGAGTCCTGAAACCTGATGGTATATTCGCAATGCTTGAAATCAAAGGAACAAGTAACATATATGAAGACAAGGTACTGAAATAGTTATCATACAACGGGATCTAATCATGACTATAGAAAAAGTATGGTGATATTGCTACAAGTATATTATGCTCCTCAATGTTCCATTGCTTGCCTGTTGGAAGTAACTCCGAAGGTAGGCTGCTTGTATACAAACCTCAAAACAATTCAATGTTAATCATGTTTTCAGATGCGTTGTGCCTAGGAGCAATGTGGGGATCGAAAAGGGCAATTAAGCTGCTGAATGAATGTGGGTTCACTAACGTAAAGCTAGTAGAGACCCCTCATTTTGAAATTAATCAACTATATGTGTGTCGAAAATAGAATGCATTATTTCATCTGAGAATTTTCGATTTGAAAACATCAGTTTCATGTTTAATAAATAGACAATACCAAAAGTTTTTATATCATGTTTACGATTTGTTCTAATTAACACATTCAATTCGATTATACTTGAAATCGGCTATAGAAGATAACCTTGAGAGGCTATGCCAACGTCACGTGTCTCACGTGAGATGTGACGTGGTCATTTCATAAAAAATTTTTGACGTTGAGTGGTTGTGTTGCTTTTAGATGGACTTGAGAAAAGCCGAAACAAAAATAGGATTTTACAACTACATCGGATGAATCATAGAAGCGAAGATTAATAATGTGACTTTAATGGGTGAATGATAAGATATTGATTTCAGCTTCTGAGCAGTTTATTTCCAATTGCTCACGTTTTTAATCTTCGATGTTATAATATTCGGTTTTTGAGGTTTTAGCCATGAATAAGACGTTGCTTCTTCTTCTTGTTGTGGGAATCAGTGCCGTCTTGGCCGACAATAACTATGGAATTACTTGTCAATTCTGTAAAGTACAACTGGCTTCAATGACTGAAACAATACAGGGAAATCCTGATATGATGGTATGGATGATATTTCAAAATATTTTCCAATCTTTCCACTTTACACACAAAATTAGTGCTCCCATCTGTTGTAGTTAGTAATATCTACTTTCACAGAGTCAAATGGGAGATTCTGCTTCTCAGGGCTGTGATCAAATACCAAACAAAGATATGAGAAAGGCATGCCGGGAAACTCTAGATGACAACTTTCCGTTATTCTTACAGGTTAGAAAAAGTTAGTTGTATGAATCATTCGTGTTTTTTTTATAGAAATTCCTGGAAGAACCAGACACATCAGCCGCCGACTTCTGCAAGCAGATGGGCTATTGTTTTTGAGTAATTTTTCAAATAATATTTTTTAAATATATAAGCTGCATGAGGTATATAATGAAACTTTGACTTCATTATCTCTTTCTCTCTCTCTTTCTCATTATTCAGATAAACTAGTATAGCTAGATAGCTAGCCAGGTGGATTTCAAATGAATCTTTAGCTATACACCAGCAGCAACATATGTCAATTTTGAATGTTTATAAAGTATTCATTACAGCCCACGATTAGTTCCTTCTTCGGATTAATTTTCCAGCTAATTATTTCAAATATTATTCCGAATAGATATTCAGAGCATTGTTTATTCGGCAACCTCCTCCTCCTCCTCCTTCAACTCCTCGACAAACAAACCCCCTCCTTCATATGTGCTAATGCGAAGGTTATAGCCAAATGAGTCTGATTAAAGTTTGTGTATGATCTCATAATAATGCCATTCAATGAAAATCAATATGTATGAATGAATTGTGATTTTACGACCACGACATTCGTATAGAAGATGCATTCATTCGGGTGGTCCCCCCCATAATTTTCTTAATGAAAAAAGAAAAAAAAAGTGGGAATTAGCCAACAATTTGTTATCTTTTCATTGATCAGAAATGGTGGAACTGCGAACTTTAGAAAGGCAATGGTTGATAAAAATAGAGGAGATAAGCGAAAATTCTGCCGATCAACTCGTGTCTCTGATTGACAATTGCGTAAATTAAATTCTGCGCTATCGTTCCTTGAAAAGGTTAATGCGAATGGTTAATTTACTTATCATACAGGTTGTTTGATAGATGAATATTATATTTGAGACTGTCTATGGCTGTGTTATCATTGAACAATCTCAGTCTGAGAGGGTTTTCCTACAATATGATAAACTCAATGAAATGAAAAATATTTACATGAGTTGGTGAAATGATTAGAAACGTTTCAGGATGACAGCATGCTCAAGGCAGAAGAGCAATTCAGTCATACTCAGCCTATTCATCCTTTCTCCTGGCAAAAACTTGTCAAATCCTAAGATGTCACTAGCCTTATTCGTCCTTTTTCTCCAAATATGGAATTCTGCATAACTAGAGGTTATTATGTGATGCTCATAGAGAACGAAGGCCTTTTTTTTTCTATTCGCATTCATGTATTTTTAAGATTGTCGGGCAAGTCACGTAATTGTGTGAGAAGAAAAGGAGCAGAGCTCAGAAACCCGATTGACTTTAGCAAACCAGGAATCAGATAATGCAAACGGCAAATAGTAAATTCAGTGGGGTCTTATTTCCATAAACCGAACCAGCCAAATTTGGGAGAAACGGAAAAACTCGTGATGATGGCTACCATCGGCTGCATCATCTTTTGCTGCTGTTGATGATGATGATGATGATGATGCTGCTGCTGCTGATGACGATGGCTGATGATGAAGGAAAGCGTCGTCGAGACGGAAAATTTCGACGGCGAGATGCAAAATGTTCATACAAGTAGTCGATGCTGTTGATGAAATAGCAGAGTTTGTTCTTTGATAAGAGAGAGAAAGTAGAAAAGAGCGAGAACGTGAGAGGATAACTTTTAAAAAAACGTTCAATGGTCCTACTTATATATCCGTCATCTCTATATATAGAAGTGGGATATAAGACTGCTAACAATTAACTTTTGGTGTTGTCGTTCTATAAATGGTTAAGGCTGAAAATACATGTAACTAGTTAATAAAAGTCCTTTTAGAACGGAGAACGTTTCGCTTAGAGAAAGATGTTCATCAGTCGAATGATCAGAGAGATAGAGAGAGACGAACGCGAAAGAAGCCTTGATTGTGATGGTTTGAGAGAGAGAAAAAAACGGTGAAGAAACTTTATGTAACTAGATGAAGCAGATGTCACATACTTCAGATGTTGATAGCACAGTAGTAATGCAGAGCCGGAATGTTTTCATCAGCTATGATGAATGCTTAAAAAAAGAAGAAGAAGAAAAGCTATGGATGTTAGAAATAACAATCTGTGATGAAGAGACGAAAACAGCTAAAGTCCATTTGGCCTCTGATACAGAAGGAAGGAGAACTGATAGAAAAGTTTTTTTCTAATATTTCTCTCAGTTTTTTTTGTTCCCTTCCCACTACACAGCGCTTGTTTTTTTTGGATGCCAACCTTGCTCATCTCTTTCATCTCACCCTCACACTGTCTATCTTTCTCTCTCACTTTCTCTCTCCCCTTTTCCTCTCTCTCTTTCTCTCTCTCTTTCTCGACATTGGAACTTCATTTACCTGTATAAGCACACTTTGTTAAATGGGTAAATGCCAGTTTTCCTTGTTGAACTGTCATTTTTTCCTTTCCGTTTGCTTGTCGTTGGTTTGCCGATAGCCTTGAAAACGACAAGTATACTATCGGCAAAACGATATTTTCCTTCTTAATTGATGGCAGAATACGTTGTCATCTTCCTCTTAATCATCAACTTTCGAGGAGAATCGCGTGTCTCAACTTCAGAAGAATAGAATAACATGTGACGTCCGCTGCGATAATGCAAGAATCTTCAGGAGCTTTCCTGTCGCCGCACGTGACCATTTGAAATACAATAAACAACTCAGCCGTATAAACACATTCATAAGGCCTTAAATGGATGAAAGAGAAGAAGAAGAAGACGACGAAGAAGAATGAGAAGAAGAATAAGAAGAAAAAGAAGAGAAAGAGGAGCCTATTCTCTCGGAAATCAGTAATTCAATGGGAGTTTCTGTTTTTTTTTCTTTTTTTTTCTTATTCTCTTATCCATCTATCATCAGCCATGGCTTTCTATCTCTGTTTTATAGCTCAGAGTCCGTCCTTTACTCTTGTCATCCATAAAGCGATGACCTAAAACGTTAAGATGGTCACGCAATATGCAAATACTCTCAAGAAAACTATCTAAACATAACATGTTGAAGCCGTGATTGCAACAAGAATGTCAGTTTCGAATTGTCAAAAGTTTATGAACATATGCTCTTTCAGTTTCAATCGAGATACGTGCCACATCAGATATCTGACGTTTTAATGATTTCATTTCTATATCTGATTTGGAACATCATGAAAGACAACTGTATAATCCCATATATATTTTTTTTTCATTCAGATATTTGAACAATCGGCCCATGCACACACACAAAGACTGGCATATAGACATACAGAATCCCAAATATGTCTAAGCACGGATTCGGGAAACATTTTCTATTTTCTATATGTCTTGCATCTGACATTGACAGCAATGTCGGCAACAAGGAGAAGCTCACGGCATGTTTCTCGAATAAGCAGCATGGTCCTAAATGTCGAAAAGCAGTTGGCCGGAAACTGAAGTAGTTAAGTTATACATTTGCTGCCCAATAAGTAGGCAATTTCAACACACACGCTCTTTTAGCTGTTTCAACTGCATTATTTTACTATTTTAGTTTGCGACAGAGAAACATATTATGAGCTTTTCTCATATTTTAGTTTTGTGAATGATGAATTGAGGCCTAAGACGATGTGATCGTCGATGAGGGAAGAAATTTCGATCTCACTTCGTGCGATGTCCCTCTCTCGAAGATCGCCATGCGTTAATACCCTGAGCACATAACGACTAAACTGATGTGAATGAAGACAACGACAGCAATGGAGGAACAAAGACAATGCAATGACTGGAGTCGTAGTTGAGCTTCTTCTCGCTCGAGTTCTATCTTTCTCTCTTTACATAGAATCCTTTCTTTTCCTTCCACATCTTATGAAGAAGAAGGGAAGAAAAGAGATACACAGAAAGATAAACTGAGAGAGTGAGAGAAATGTATTGAGAGAAACAGTACGCAGCCAATAGAGAGAGAAGGAGGACGGAAGCGGCGGCCCCTCTGTGTGGTGACTGACGACGACGATGAGAATACAGAGTCAGACGCTTAGACAATAATGTATAAAACGAGAGAGACACAGAGAGAGACAGCAATATGTGTGACTGCTCGTATGTGTATGAAGAGGGCGCAGGACGTAAGATAAGAAGAGGAAGCAGACAGCCAGAGAAATAGAGATCGCTCTATCGCAAGAGAGCGCAGATACAACAGAGCGTTTATAGATTGTAGATGGAAGAAGGATCTGTTTACGAAGCTTGGTGACGTGGTATCGACACAGCAGAGACAATGTGCGGAGAGAGAGAACAGAGACGTGTGGGGGGGGGGAGGGGCCCAGATACGTTCTCCACTCCACTCTCCTAGCCCCACGACGACAACTAGACCAACGTTGTGTTCGTTTTCACGATTTTTCTTGAATTTTCATTTCAATTTTGATTCCCATAATACCGTTTATGAAATTTATGATTGAAAATGAAATGCTGAATTCAAAAATATATTTTTTGTTCAGAAAAGTTTGATTTACCATATATAGCGAAAGGAAATAATTCATAGGCGTGTAAAATTTATTTTTACTTCTACAAACGCATTGACCGGTTGTTCATACGCCACCTTTGGTGGAGCATATGAGAGCTAGTCGATTAAAGCCTCTTCGCTTCATCAATTCTTCTATTTAAATATAATTTTTGTTATTATTCTTTTTGCAAAAACATCATACATTTTTGATTAGATTACTATGTTTAAAGGAAACAGATATGCTGATGAAGACAATCCTTTGCGGAGGATCGAATTTTTCTCTGCTTTCCCACAAGCTTCAAATTAATTTTCTTAAAATTACATTCAAATCGCAAAATCAAATCATTTTCTGTCGCTTTTGTGTTTTCGCCTTTTATTTTTCTTTTTTTTGAATATTGAAACTGTAAAAGTGGCAGAGTACACAATTTCAAACAATACAATTATCGATTTTTGTCGTTTCGGTATCGTCTTGCCGATTTCGCATTAAGTTTACGTTTTCTCCACTTTTCTGAAATTTAGTACGTTTATTTGTGTATATGTTTGGTTTTTTGATAGTTTAATCTGTTCTTTATTGACCGATATGAAATTAGATAGCTTTGGCCGTTAGTGTTTAGTCGGCTGTGGAGTCGTTTGAGTTGCTCATGCTAAAACAGGATTTTTCCCCTTTATATATATGGTCACCAATTATTTTTGAACCGTAGCTTCCTCATAACCTTTAAAACCATGTAATTCTACCTTGTCCGCAGTCTTTCGATAATTACTTTCTCTCCCTTTCTCTATTCCATTCTCTTTCTATCTCTCATTTCTGGGTCTCGTGAGTTTATTTGCAATATAATTTTCTCTACGTGCTATATTCTATTTTTGGATTAAAAACAGTCCAAATGAATACTCATTATCGGGCCTAATTAGGCTCCTAGGTCCAAAGCCAACAAGGTTGTTTTTTTTCTAATAAACTCAGACAGGTTGCCCCAAATCCACGAGAGAGGCCACCATCTTCTCCTCATCATCATCATCATCTTCGTATGCTAAAGAGAGAGGTCAACAGCTGGGTGTGCATCTAATTATGGCTGAGAGATGACGTCATTCTTGTGTATGGTCATGTCGGTATAGTATATGCTTTCAATAACTAATATCCTTCTTAATGGAAGGAAATTTGGTTAACAAAAGAAATGTAATACTTAAGACTGTTCTTTTGAGGAAACTGTCTGACACTCAACGGACGGTCATCTTTGTTCTCATTGGATGAAATATTCTCCATCTCTTCTTCTTTCATGTCGAGAATATCGGCTTTTCTTATCAGCCTCTACATAAATCTCGTTCTGGATTATTTTCTGGTTACGGCAGCAGCCTTGCGCTCAATTTAGTTTTATTATCTCACGTTCACTCTAATACACCTTGATCATTTCAAACATACGCAGTAGGCCTTTGGATTTGAGCCTACCATTCGTTCCAAATATAGTATGTTTGTTCAACCATCTTCTAAGTCCAGCCAAGAATGCTTGATTCTGAATCAATCTCTATTCGTTTTTTGTGATTGGACAGTTGACAACCGCCACAATCACCAGAGACCAATAGAAAATCGAAGAGTATGACTTCAGAAGAAATATCGTTCGTTAAAAGAGAATCTGAGTGAAAAATCGTTTTAAAAAAGGGATAGAAACGATAGAAGAGTGCCTCAGATAGTTAGAAAGATAGGGAGAGAAAGAAATAAAAAAAGAGAGTTGAATAGAACGTAGGGGCGGTCCAGAGCGAGGCGCTGAAGAGTGGAGGACAGAGGCCTGGCTGTCTGGCTAGTTGGTTGGTTGGCTGTTTGGCTGGTCGCTCCTTGGGTTTGTTAGTTGATTGGTGGGCCAGAGATAAGGTTGAAAAGAGAGAAAATATAGATAGAGAGAAGAATTGTGAGAAAGAATGAGAAGTGAAGAGGTGTTGTCGGAGAGAGAGGGAAAGAGAGAAAGAGGTGGCCAAGCAGTCGACACCCAGTTGTGCTTCTAGTCTGCATTTCTTTGCGCCCTCTCAAATTATTCTTTCTTTCAAATAGCTGACGATGTTGTGCGATTCGGTCCTATTCTTAGCCAACTGGTCCAACCATTGTCTTTTTCTCTCTGTTCTATTCTCTTTTTCTATATTTTATTCCCTTCTTAACTCCTGCTGCTTCCATAGAAAGGGAGGATTGTTCTCAATTTACCTGGTTATCTGGGAAGCCCTCAGCAACAGTTGTTTGACGATTCCTCTAGGTTTTTATGGTTGTTGTTTCTCATACGTAATACTTTTTTATCATTCCATATCTCTGTGATGATGGACAGTGTGATAAGTGAAATTTTGTAATTTGTGAGCCTTCATTCAACTGCTCAAGACAGCTTGACGTTCTCTCATTTGCCATCTGGGAGTCTTCTTTCTGTTTTTGCTAATTATTTTCGCCTTTTGTCTGGAAACTGTATATTAATTTGAGAACTTCGTGTTATTTCTTTGAGTTTTCGTGTTTAAATTTTCAAAACGTTGAGTATTATTCTATTTTCTTTCAGAGTATTTAACCATTCCGGGTCCAAAATGGTGTTATATGTTCCTTGTATCTCATCTTCCACTTCGTTCATCTCATCTTCAACCTCACTCTCAACATCATCATGTTCATCTCCAGTTTACGAGTCGACTACGTGTTATTCTCAACCAATTCCACTCAGGTTCGTTGGGCTTGTTTTCACAAAAATCTATAGAACGTTATGACCCGCTTCTTTCATAAATTGACTTTAAACAAGTTTCAAAAATAATTTCAATCGGCGTTTCTGAAATTGCCGGACGACAACGTCGTTTTGTAGCAAAAATACTCATGATAACGTCTGAAACGACAACATGTTTGCAAACGACGGCACACACACATACACACGATAACTGACGTTTTCTTTGAAGGAAATGAGATCGAGAAGCATTAGAAATTCAAATGATTTTCATTAGTAACTGAGTTATGCTTACAGTCGATGTTCACTCTATCTCTCTTTCCTTCCTATCTCAGTTGTGTGCTTTCATGCGCGGTACGCCTTTAATGATTCCCTTCTTACGGTTTAAAATGTCTTGAGCTGTTTCATCAAACCTTTTCATAACCTTTTATCTTTCTTACGATAGCGCACGTTCTCAAGGTTTTAAAAGATTATATTTTACCCAGTAAATGGCACGGATTGAAAGATTTACGTTCTCAGCGAGACAGATTGTGTCAACTGTTGAATCTTCTTAGAATAGTTTATTCACCGTTCTTCATATCAATATTTTTAAGCTGAAAAGTTAAAGAGAAAGAGGAAAGCTATCCGAGCCCTCCCTCTCCTTCTGTATATATCTCTCTCTCTCTTTTTCTCTCTCTATCTTTTGCTTTCTCTCTATTTTTCTGTACACATTGGAATTAACGACGATGGCGACATCGTTGGCCAGAAAAACATGTTTATTCCATTATGTATCTGCTGCTGGCTGCTGCTTAGGATTGCTTCAAAGAGAATATAAAAGAGGAGTAGAGAGAGGAGGGAAGAGAGAAAACTCCTGAGATTGTTAAGAAAATCTTTCGAATTATCACGTGCGACGTGCGTTTGCGTGAAGGTTCCAGAACCTTTGTTCTCGGCTCGAGCCATTGTTTTGTACGCTTTCATTGAGACTCAAGAGGGAAAGAAATCTGAAGTAGTTCATTTCGGTGCGAATTCATTGTTATCTAAAATCATGTTTGATTTTCTCAATAATCACTCTGTTACTGATCCTTTTCTGTTTCAGGTCCCAAGCATCTTGCGATGATTCGTTGTCAACTTCAACCCTTTCGTCTTCTGTCGAATCACTAAGCTCTCTGAAGTCAACGTAAGAACCGACTCAGATACGTATAGATAGTGATGATGTTTTAGCTGCTCTTCTCGTTGGTCGGCTGAAAGAGAAGCTGAACGTGCCGAAAAAAGACGTCTTTTGAATGGCAGTCTGACCAAGTTGCGCAGCAACAACAATTTGCCGTTGCGTAAGCATCTCCTCGTCTTCAATTCCATTAAGTATCTCCAGGTGGGTTGAGTTTCTATTTAAAACAGGCGATTTCACTCCGTCGAAATGGCTATCTGTATGAGACATCATCCGGATATCTTTGTGAAAATACTTTGGTCCACGCTGGAAACCGGTCCAGTAATTGTGCTCGATGTATTAACTTCATATTTCATATTATTCATTTTCGCTCTATTTATGGGAATGAGAAAAGGGATTCTTTTGAAAATCTATATTTTCATCCTAAACTTCATTTTTTTCGTTTTGTCATTCCTATACATCCATTTGAGCTCATAAATTGGCCACCAGAGGCCAGAAAATTCCTCTTATAAGCAACAACTTATTCTGTCCTTTTCAGCGCGAGCTCGATTTGCTTGACGACGAAGAACTTTACTGCTCCCTGATGTCATCATCAGATGAGGCCATGGAGGTGGATGAAAGGCGCTGGCTGGCGCCCACGGCCCAGCAGGCGCCCCAGACAGTAGCCGAGGAGCCCGCACCTCCCGTCGTAGAGGAGCGCGAGGCGCCAGCCGTCGTCAATTCAAGCTCTTCGAACAACAACAAGGCTGATGAGACGGATATGGAGATAGGAGAGAACAAGACTTTCAACGAAGGGAAAAATGGTTCGGAATACTGGGGTTGGACAATGAACTCCAAAATGACTGCCAAGAAAGATCCACAGTCGTGCGATCTATTCGATTCCATGGAGGTTCGTTGACTTAAGTTTTAAGGGGTTAGAGATGACTGAGAGAATCCTCTTATTTGATGAGAGAAACTTCAAAGTTAAACAGGAGGAAATACATGCCGTCCTCGGGTTCTTCTCGGCTTACGTTTCGTTTGCTTAGTCGTTTTCTCTTTGAGTTTTTTATTTCCTTTCGTCGTGATCGCCAGCAATGCATTTCGCTTGTGTATATTTGAAAAAGAACAGAGGGATGTTTAGGAGCGAAAATGAAAGCGGAGGAGAGGGAATCAGAGAGCATGAAAAGTATTTGACGCGAAACATACGATATCATTCGTTTGTCTGACAAGAGTTTCATAGAATTCTTTCTCTTTTTTATCTACTCTTTCCCTGATCAAACCGAGATTGTGAAGCGGAGTCACGAGACTTCCCAATGCCATTGCGTTGTCAATTTTCTCGTCAACGTTGCCGCTCTCTGCTGTCATGTGACCTCGCTCGATTTTTACGGAGCTTTCGGCTTTCTCTCATTTCGATTTCAAAAAACTTAACCAGAATGTTGAGCAGAGAGGGAGGGATGAAACAAAAATCATTTAAAATTCATCATTTTAAGTCGTTTTTTTTCAGGAAGCTCTTAACATCACGAGCGGCTGGAGTTGGACCTCTTCCGAATGGCCAGTTTTCAATAATACCTTCGAAAATATTGGCTGTAACGGTTTGTCAACTGGTGGATCTTCCTTCGGTGGAAGCTCCCCTGTAAGATCTCATTCGAACTTTGATGAGGACACCTGGACTCCTTTGAGCGACTTTTCCGATCCGTTTGCTAGCTGTCTGAGTCGTTTCGAGCTTCAGCATCTGTTCCCATCGCAGTTGCTTCTCCAAGCATGAAGCCCGGACCTTTATCGACGAAGACTAGCTTTGTTATTTTGTTTTTTGACCATCTATCTAAGTCTGATGAAGCATACGATGTGTCCCATATTGGGGTACATTGAAGCCTCTCAGCCTCAATCCTCAGCCGGTTTTCGCCTCTCAAGGTCCCAACTCTACTCTCTACCGTTTTAAGTTCTAGTTTCTCTTGTAAAAATAGATGTGATAGGCCAATGTCAGCTGCGTTTGTGTATAGTTATATGCCCATACGAATACTTGTTCTCTGTTCTCGGTCATCCCAGTCCCCCCCTTTTTCAAGCCCGGGTGTACAGCTGTCTCATATACTAGTAACTTCCGTATAAGGTCTTATATGGACGTTAAGACAGATATATGGTTATATATATATATATACATATACATATAATTCTTATATATTTCTATTGGAACATCTTACCATGTATAGTCAGCCTTCTTTTGTGATAGTTTTTCATCTTCTCGGTGTCGACTAGATGTCGACTTTTCTGCCTTTTCACCAAATTCTACTTGTACGTAGTCATCTACCTCTTCTTCTCTTTCATTTTTGTATTTTTTTAGTTCATAGAGAGATAGCTGATGAGTACATAGAGAGTTTCTAGTGTAAGACCTCTGTCCACGAACTTCTATTCGTAGCTCTGTAGTTGTTGCCCATTTTTTGGGTTTTTTTGTTAGCAACTGAGTTTCCAGAATCGAAGTGAGTGTGGAGAGGTCTAGTATGAGCTCCTTGTAACATAGTGATTGTATCTATATTTATGCCAAATTAGTATATTTGCCTGTTGCCTCTCGAGCACAAGCTGTTTCTTATTTTGAGACGCAACTCGTGTCTCCTCTCTTGTTTTTCGGGTGTTCTCGAGTCGCAATCCTCATACTGATGCGTGTCTATCTATCTCCTTCTCAGCTTCCTTATTTTATGGTCTTATAAGGGTACTCTACTTGACTGAACAAAAAAAGCCTTAATATTTCCTTTCCCTCACACAAGTTCAAATCTACCTGGTCCAGTTATCCGTGTGCTATCTCTCCTTAACAGTACGGGCTGTCCCTTTTCTCACTCAGACTCTGGTTATATTTTCTTTTGTTCTTTAACTATGCTTGCTGTTTGTGTTTTGTTGTTGATCGATCATCTCAAACCATCCCCTCCCACCTACCAACTCACACTCGTTCGGGTTCGTCTTGTCCTTTTCCTCTCCATCCAAAATCGCATTTTGAATGTTAATATGTACCTTAATATATTTTTAACTTAATTCTTATTCTATTCCATCAGCTCTGTAGCTTTACAAAACTCCATCTCCTTGTTATGTTTCCATAATTGGTCCTTGTTACATTCTTGCCACCCCGAATTCTCCTGGTTCTTCACAAAGTGAAAATTTGTTCAAAATCGTTGGAATATGTAATTACAGACTGTGAGGCTTCATTTTGTTGATTTTTTATTATTTTAAAACTTTTCTTCAAGAAGTCTCGCAAGTATGTCATTTCATAAGCGACTGTTTTCCATCATACATCATCCCACGATCAGAATTCTTCTTCGTTTTTGTTACTTCGCATTTAAGATTCTCTTACTACCATACGTGACTTTTAGAAGAACGGGTGACAATTCTCAAACAAGTGTCCTAGACTTTCTCTCAGATTTTTAAGGTTTGTATATTTTCTCGAACAAGATGTCATCCGGTGCGGGTGCTGTGTTGTGGCGATGGTTGGTTTCCTTCTGAGGAAACACTAAAACTCAGCTAAGCACACAGCAGCAGCCGTTCTCGTCAAGTTGGTGTGCCCCAACTGAATAGCTGAATATCAGGCAAAATGTTGTTTTTCATTCCGATGGGGTGATGAATAGCAATAGTCTGAAGATCTGTTATTCAGATGGATGGACGCCTTCAGCTCTGCTCCTCAATTGTAATAAAACGATGGTGTATGATAGCTTTATCACAGACTTCCATCTCACACAATCTTTTCTTTTTTCGTAAAAAAAAAACTTGTTCGTTTTATTGCTGTGGAGGAGCAGAATCTTCTCGCAGGTGCGAATAGATTTCTCCATAAGAAAAATAAAATTGTTGAGGGGCCGCAGGTTGTCATTGCAAGAGAGGCAATTCTAGTTTGTCGGTTAGGGACTATGTCCGAAGAGTTTGAAGAAAAAAAAATAGAAAATCAATGTGACAACCTGTGAGCTTCGAGCAGTTTTTACTTCTCACGATCACAATTCTCGTCGTAATATCCCTAGCATAGTCATACAGGAAATGTATATATTTTTACTGTAACCGATGTGTGCATTTGGTATTTTTTGTTTCTCTTTTCTACTTCCAAAATATCCATTTGATATCCCTATCTACCAACCAAGCTCTATAGTATATATCCTTTAGAGAAATATTTTAAACTGCAGGCACAAATACATATTATTTGTTTGTTTTCTGTTGTATAAGCGTGTACAAAGGGTTTTATCTATCCATTATCTCAACTTATCCAATCCTCCTTTTTTTCTTTTTTTTTCTTCTTCGCTCTTATTCACCATCTCGCTGTAAACATTCAATCACCTCAGTTCGCCGAATACATGTGCTTTTTTTTTTCCTTGCAAAGCTTGTAGTCATTAATATCCGATATATTATATATAAATATATTTTAAGATATTCTATTGGCTGAAAATAAATGTTATTTTTATACGTCTGTTCTGGATATTTATATGAACTATGCGTTTACTCACTAATATGAAGAAGTTATAAAATCTACAGCAATATTGACTTGACAAAGAACACACACACGCATATATACACACATGCATATACACCGTTGGTAATAAAAAAACAGCAACCTCTCTCTATCTCCCTCTTTCTGCTTCCCTCTCTGACTTATTACAAACTACAACGAAAAGTCTTGAACAAGATTGTAAAAATCACTTTGATGTTATGAAAATAACAGCCAGTTATTGATTTCCTCTACTATTTTTATTTCATACACATAGTATATTGAATGCAAAATATTCTAATTAACTTCCAACGTCAATGGTTGTTTTTCATTTTTAACGCGAACATCGTACAGTGCGGTTGTGTGTGGGTGCATGTCTTAATTGTTCATTTCCTTTTAAGGCTTTCAAAGACCGGTTGTAATTCTTGATTGAAGGGGGAATTTAAGTTAATTTTATCTCTCTCAAAAAATGTGTTCAATTCGCTAATTTTCTTGTTCATCTCAATATAGCAGAAGCTTTGTGTTACTTCAAATAACCTTTTAAAAATCATATGATGTGAGGGTAGCCTTTGCTTACGCTCTGCATATCACGTGAACATGAACAGGATTACATGTGCATAGCCATGAAGTCACTATATATAACTATATATATATATAGTATACACGTATACGTAAACATAAATATATATATTATTTTGTTTTAGGCATTGAGATGCTCATTTGAATGAATTGTTCCAGTCATATCATTTGTAATAATGAGTAGGTGGCCACGAAACTTTGCTGTTTATGGATATTGTTTATGTGTGTGTGTGAGAGAGCGAAAGACATGGGGGAAAAATGAATTGGCTGGAAACTGGACTCAAACTGAGTTAAATCAGTATGAAAATGACAATGAAGGCCGAGGACGACATTCAGAATTTGTCAGATGATGGTCGGATGTGTTTTCTATCTAACTGTATGAGTGTGAATGTGTGACTACAACTAACACCACGACGCCGACCCACATAAAGTGAATTGAGAGGATCACGGCAGAAAATTGTGAGATAGCTACGCAATAGAAAATCACGAGTTTTCCCATCTTGCATTTTGAGGGAAATTCCTTCCTTTTTGTCATTGCATCGCTTCCAAACCGCGGACAAAAAAAGCGAGGCAGGTGTTATGGATGGGTAGGTGCCTTCATTTAAGACATAAAAAGATGTTCGACAGCCGTGATGCGTTCATGTTTTTTCGTTATCAAACTGTCGACTGTTTGATTGGAAGATTACATAATTATTGGAAAGACGAAACTTCATGATCGTGAGTAGACTATTGTAGGAATTGAATTCATAGGGGGGAGAAATGCAAGAAGTAGTTGAAGGAAATAAATTATTTGATTCGTGGGCTAGATACATCTCTGTCCTCCAACGTACCAAAACTATTCTTGTTCTTGTGTGTCTTTTTTATTTCCTACTCTTTTCAGTATTGTCGTTTTTCATGTTCACCTTTTTCTTCTTTTCATTATCTCTATTTTCTTTCGATTCTTATTGTTAGTTGTCTTGAACATTGTCGTCTTCTCCTGTTAATATCGTCGTCGCCGTTGTCGTCCTCTTGTATGTGGTCATGAACAACGACAAAGATGATGACGACCATGCATAACGATGAATCTAAAACGACTCTTTAGTTCCGCAGTCTGATCATCGGGGTCCGGTCTTCGCAAAAGTAGAAATCGTTCATTTGAGATTTTGAGTATCAGATTGAACCTTTATGGTGCATGGCTTTCTCTCAGTTCATCCTATCTTCTAAAAAAAAGAGGACAGAAAAAACTGTGTGGATGCGGTTCTTTTCCGTCTGAAAATCATGGGAAGGGGGGGGGGGGGGAGCGGATCGAACTTTGTCTCTTGAGAGTTGAGACACTATTTCATCGAGAAAAACTTTCCATTGCTTGACAGGATTACAAAATAGTTCACAACAGTTTCGAACTGTTGATTAGAATCTTGATTTGATAAGAAATATGCAATGTGCCAAAAAATTGGGTAAGGCAATGCATAGATTGATGATTAGACATCTTTCATCAAAGCTTATTCATACAATAAACAGCATCATTAGAGAGAGACAATTACATTTGGTGTGAAACAGTGGTGCCATCTCTGGAATAAGGGATCAGGTGAGTATCTTCCAGTGATAATCAGTGAAGTTATTCCTCACCAACTCGTAGACAGTTATCATTTCAATGCCATTCATAGCTGCATTTGGTCTTCCTCTTCAAGGTCTTTATGTGTTTTTTTTCATTTTTTTCATGCTTCCTTGTCTTTTTTCCAATGTTTCAAGCCCAAACTGCTTAGTTTTTGCGACCAAAGACAATGGCTGGTCTGTAACAGAAAAAAAGAGAAAAATAATTGAAGAGCAGCCTGCTATTGTTTTGCCTCTATTGAAGGAAATCAAAAACATTGAATATGTTGTGCCTGTTTGTATTCTTTTCATAAGATTCTTTCATTTATACAGATTCATATGGTGATACAGATGCAAACGGTTTGCTATATCAGGCCTTCTTCATTTCTCTTATTTGGGCATTTTTATGAGCTTGAGAAAGGCATTAAATTAGATTTGGGGATAGGATATCTTTGTTTGCGGCAGGTTTAAACTGGATGCTGCTGACGAATTAGAATATACACTTATGAATCAATTTGTTTATTTAAGATATCTTCAAAATAGCTGTTTTTAGTTCAAAGACGACTCTGGAACATTGAATTTGACGTTGTTTTCAAAGAGAATGCAACCGCTCATAGCAAAACTAAAATGAAAAATAAAAAGTTTTTGACGTGAAATCACGTAACTTTCAACAAGGATTTCTGCTGAGAGAGGGATTGACAGAGAAAGAGGAAGAAGAAGGAGAGGGGGGGGGGGTAAACTATATTTTGAACACAAAAAGCAATATTTTTTTATTTTCATGATCCATATGTTTCTTTTTTTTTTCCTTCATTTCGCGAAGTTTAAAGTACAGTATCGGAGGATGTATTATCGAAACTTCAAAAACAATCCTTTTTTGTATCTTTTTTTTTCTTTTTTTGTTTGATTGTTCGCTTTTGTTTTTCTCTTGAAACTCTTAATTTCATGTGACTAAAAACTTTTGCAGCAAATATGTTTGACTTGGTTATTTACGGAGCAACTGGCTTTACGGGATCTTACATTGTTGAACGACTTGTAACTTCAAGCTTATTCAAGGTATTGATTCATATCTCTCCCCCCTCTTTTATCACTTTTTTTTTCTGTGGCTCAGGATGTCAAGTTTGCTGTGGCAGGACGTAGTGAATCGAAGCTTCGCAAAGTTTTGAGTGATGTTTCTGATAAGACAGGTTCCATTACTACAAAGAGGGGCTAATGAACTAATTTGCAAGTATTTTAGGCATAAACATCCGCAGCACTACTATCATTGTAGCTGATACCAAGGATGAGCAAAGTTTAATTGATATGGCCAAACAAACAAAGGTTGTCTTAAACGCCGTCGGACCAGTATGTTGTACAATGAAACACATTTTTAATGTTTTTACTTGAAGTATCGACTTCATGGGGAGCCAGTTGTGAAGGCTGCTGTCGAGAATGGAGCTTCTCACGTAGATATTTCTGGGGAACCCGCATTCCTGGAAAAAATGCAAGAAAAGTACAACGAGACAGCCAAGAAGAACGTATGTTTCTACTTAAAATCGGGTATGTGAATGTGATTTCAGAATGTTTACATTGTTGGAGCATGTGGTTGGGATTCCATTCCATGTGATTTGGGAATAAACTTCCTCAAGAACAATTTCAATGGAGATTTGAACCATGCTGAAACATTTGTCCAATTAGAGAATGGACCAGAGGTAAGAAGAAGCAATAATTCTGTTCTAAAAACCAATTTCAAGGGCTACGCAATTAATGCTGGAACTTATCAGACACTGATTTTGGGAATTAGTGAATCTGCTAAGGATGGATTAGGTGCCATTCGTCGTAAGATTATGCCAGTGAAGACTCCCCGTTCCACAATTAAAGCTCCCAAGCGGTTTGATTTGCCTAGTTTTTTTTAAGCTAATCAAAATATTATAGGTCTGCTTTCTGGAAAATCGATCATCCAGAAATCTCAGGATGGGCACTTCCATTCATGGGATCCGACAAATCAGTTGTTCAGAGATCTCAATACTTCGGATATGTTCTCGACCAAGATCGTCCAGCTCAAGTAGAAACATATCTTCGAATTTCTTCACTCCTCTGGGCTAGTCTCTTCACTGTCTGGATTACCATCTTCTTCTTCCTCTGCCAGTTTAAGCCAACCAGACAGTTCCTCCAAAAATACCCAGACTTGTGTAGTTTCAATCTCTTCAAGGTTTTTCCTCCATCCAAACGCTTTTATCAACTGTTAGTCTCTAGAATGCCGGACCAACTAAAGCCCAGATGGACGGAGCTAGCTTCACTTACTGGCTTATCGGAACTGGATACAGCTCTAAGAAGTCTGCTGATGAACAACACACTGATAAACCAGATAGAAGAGTTAGTTCATTACGTTTAACATCAATACACGTGCTTTTAAGGTAGCCGCTAAGTGCACTGGACCAGATTGCGGATACTATGCCACTTCAGGCTGTATCCTCTCATCAGCTTTGACTTTAATCAAGGATCGTCAATCTCTTCCAGCTGAGTGAGAATTTTACAAATTTTTTGCAAAGCTAATCTGTTCTCTTCAGTGGAGGAGTTTATACCACAGCAGCTGCATTTGGAAAGTCGAAGATTTACGAGTATTTATCTTCTTTCGGAGTAAAGTTCGAAGTTGTTAGCGAAAAAACATTGAAGAACGACCATTAATAACTTATTATGAATTTAATAAACTAGGAAAACAAATTTTTTTCTACAATTGATAAAATAATAAATCCGTCTAAGCTTATGTCATTCTATTGATTGAGAGGAAGAGTTACATGCGGATTAAGTCGTATTAGAGATGTAGTAATATATATTTTGTATTGTGTAGTTTATTCAGGTCTTGATACATTCCAACATATTTTCAAGCATTATCAGCTTTCTTACTTTCTCTGCGAAGGTTTCCTAATGAAAAGACGTATACGGCTTCCTAATTGTCTTCATCAGCCGCCATCAAGGTGCTCTCTGCGATGTAGTTTTTTCTTCTTTTTTCGCTTAGTTCAACAAGCTTAATCTGCGGTCTATGTGAGTTTTTAGAGTTTATTTTCAACTAAAAATATCATTTATTTGCAACATATATCGGAATTTATCAATTATGATGTTCAAAATATTTCTGAGCGGATTTATAGATAAACTCTGGCTAATGGGCCTACCATTCATTTGCATTAGCTTTGAATTGCTTGAGCATCTTCCTACACTCCCATTCTCAGATGCGCGTAGTTTCCTCCCCACATCATCAGTCGAAATCATTCTATAAGCTTCAGATCTCTTTCTACGTTTGCTTGTTGAAAATTCCTCAATCCAATGGCTTTTACATGATATGCTATCTCATATACACTATCCATGTCTCTTCCGGATCTCAGCTTCGATAATGTTTTCTGGAGATGGGAGGATCGTCAGATATATTCGTGCATGACTCTGAGTTTATCTACTAATCCACAACTTAAGAGCTTCATCTGCTTCATCCTTTCTTCTCGATTATCCAAGCTAGAAAATATGAAAAGACTGATAACATATCTCTTTGAAATGGTGGTCAATACTGCTCGCTCTTTTACTTCTGTCAAATCCATGCAGATTAGAAGAGTGACGTAAGTAGCACCTTTAACTGGTTCGAATGATCAACTATATAAGCATAGTATCATACTCCAGTTCGATCTCGTGTCTTTCCTTCCTTATTCCGATTTCGTTTATTTCGAATTTTCGAAATTTTAGTTTTTTGTTTGTTCCAGGCTGCTTCAAGTTGTTGATATGAACCTTTGAGCATTATAAGATGAGAATATTATCCGCATTCTTCACTGTTTTATTCACGTTCATTAATCCTGTGATGCTATTCAAAAGTAAGTTAGGGTTGAGAAATCTCATTAATGCTCTCTCTCTCTCTCTCATTTCAGTACTCTCCGAAATGGAATATTTTTTCGAAAATCAGAAGCACTCTCCACCACAATTGCAATTAGAAGCTCTCGAATTAGTTTACACGTATGTTGTTTCGAATAACTTACTGACTCGTGTAAAAACTGCAGCATTCATATTAGGTGACAACAAGCTGCTTTTGTAATGCAATATTTATAATTTTACAGTAACACTGATGTCATTTCTGCATGTTATTTTCTCAATTCTTAGTCTTTATGGTATTTATGCTTGTAGGCCTATATTTATGCGGCCACTTCTACTAGACATTGTCTTGAGTCTCGTGAGTTTATCATGCTGTAATCCTCAATCCCAGATACGTTTCAGTTGATACTCAGTGGATTTGTTACATTCTCTATAACTGTTTATTGGTTTCATGGTGTAGACGGAACAATGAAACATCACGAATGTATAAAAGCGCATCTTCGGTTCGTACTTTTGAAACAGACGTATGTTCTCATTGCACTTACAGAACTTCGTACGTCAGCTCTGCATTCCTTCTAGCATATCTAGTATGGGCAATCGTCTCGTATGCTGGGTTTAGGTATGTATAACATTTCCTATGAAAATATGTATGAGGCTGAGCTTTTGTTTAATTTTAATGTAACCGATCAGTGGTTAGTTATATTCATAAATGAGTGACGTCCTTTTCCGTAGGCCAGAGTACACGTGGCATCACGTGGATTGAAGCAAAAAGCACGAGTAGATTTTGGATTACGTTGATGGAATTTTCACAAATATTGTTTAAAAAAATATTTTTCCACTCCTCTTTTTAAGGGATACTGAAAGAATGCATGCGGATTTTATGTACTGGATTGTGGAAGAACGGATGTCATTGAAATCACAAAAGCATAACGTCTCTGTAGATAATAGGTAAAATATATATTATGGATTCTATCAAAACTTGGATGTATGATGTGATTCATGCCCTAATAGGGCAACTACAAAAACACGTTAGCGGCATTCCTTCACGTTCGACTGATAAAATCTACAACGTGACAAATAAAATTCAAACGAATGTAGAAAAAATTTGACTCTCTCTCTCTCCCTCTCTCTCTCATACAAACGTGTTTCAAAATTAGCGCTCACGTTGATTTTCTCTATTATCTATTGGACCCTATCTGTCTCTCAAACTCTATAGCTTCTCTTCATTATTACACAAGTCTAACTCTTCTGATACTATAATCATGTGGTTGATATTGACTTTTATGATTCATTTTCAGTGCTCAAAAATCTGATAGATCATCCAAAGGATCAAAAGCTAGTAGCCGCAGTGCAAAGTCTGAGCGATGGTCGTTATCCAGACCTAATTCCGTGTCTACAAGTGTTTGTAGTAACAAGCGCTCGAGTTTGGTGAATGGCCGACTATCAGTGCCGTTGTGAAAACGTTTATGTGCTTGTTATGTCGTGGATTAAGACAGTTCCCAAATATGGAAGACTCACAAGAAAATAATCTGAAATTCCTTTCTTGCCTCTAACACAACCATTCCAGTCTTGAACAAACGCATAGAATTCAAAAAAAAAGTATTACGAAACGAAAACGATTGGTTTTCGATGAAATCAAAGTTATATAAAGAATTGCTCGTGTGTATCTAGGTGCCATCATTCTTATATCTCGTGAATTTAATATCAAAATCAGATCGCTGAGGGTAGCTGCTCTTTACCCAACCGCAGCACGCCTTCTACTTGTTACATAAATAATTTCTGCGATATTCTCATATAATATGAGATTTTACTACATAACAACGTAGGAAATGCGGAAAACTGAGTGATAATCGAAAAATCTAGAAAATGTGAATGTGTGCAGTATATAGTAAAGCTAATTGTATACGTTCTTAATCCACTATAATTAATCTGTTTTCCTCGTTTGTCACTTTATTCTCACATAAACAACTACGAGATATTTAAACTCTTTTCTCTACTAAAACAGTTCAACGCTTTTGCCGTACGTTTGTAATTTGAAGTTTTAATTTGTTCTAATAAACAGTTCGTCGTGACTCAATATGTGCCAATGCGATTGCAGTTGGATAACCATCTTTCTGGACGATTCGTGTTGTTCATGAACATAATGCAGAATTTAAACCGGAAAGTTCTCGTGATTTATTCTGATGACCGAGAGTCCTTTTTAAAAATCTTTCATCCAAAATCAATAAAACATCCATTTTCTAATTGAAAATCGGAAATTGATTACAGGAAGTTGTAGTTAGCTCAACAGAGTACTGTGAGATTCGAATAGTTCTGTTGGGGAAACACGACAATGCTTACGTGATGTTTCGAGAAAAATAAAGAACATCTTATAATTTTCTTTTAATGTATTAATCAGTCAAAACTTCTTATCTAACGGAGATAGAAAGCCTTATAAGACCATTAAAAGATTCAATAAGGATTTATCTTCGTATTTATTCGTCATTTTTCGATTCTATTCCCAGAGCGTAGCTTTTTGCCTCAGCCCCCATTTCCACATTTAAATCGCTCTCGCTTCGCTATTTGCTATTTTTGTTTAGTAAAAGAATGTTTATATAATTAATAGTGTTTTATAAGACTGTCAGGTGGTGTAAAGCACATATGTATATTATGGGTTTGAAAGAGGGAGAGATAGAGAGAGAAGATAGAAGGACACATCATACCCTACCAGCCACGTGCTTTCAGCACTCCTTGACGCGAACTTCGTGTGCCGGGTAAGCGCCAGCGCAGTGATCCTAAAATTGTTAAATACCTACATAAAAAATTGATATATATATCTGAACACTAGGAAAATTATTTAAATATTGTAATTAAATTATTCGAAGGAGATGTTAGAATGGTTGTTTATAGTTTGGTTTGTTGTTTTCTTTTTTGTTTTTCATCTTGTTTTCGTCTTGTCCTTTTTCGTACATCGTTCCTCATTGGGGATTAACCATAGTCTCTTTCAGGTTTCTGTGGTTCTTCGGAATCGTGGTTACCTCTTATAAGGGTCCCCCTCAACAATCTGTTGAATGTCATCAAATGCTAAAGGCGACCCTCCTGTAGAGGTGAAAAAGGAGGAGTCGCACGGAAGTAACACCAATGCCTCTAATACCAACGTGAAGGTTTATTTCGTAACCATTTGTTGCTTATAAGTTCATGAGTTTAGCAAGGAGAACGTACACGTAGACGATCCAACAAAGACCAGGATGGCGGTTCTCGCAATGGCAGTCGTCACAACAGCTACTCTGCCAGCAAAGACAAAGGTTTCATAAACTATTAGTTCCAGAGTACTGTGATATGTTTTAGGAAGAAAAGATTGGCACGACCGTAAAAGCCAAAGTCAAGGCGGAAACGGAGCTTTGAAACAACCAGCCAAGCAAGATTCTTCCGATGGAAAGAAGAGAACCCGAAGCACTAACTGTAAGATTTTCATAATTGTCTTCGAGCATTTCTTTCTTCTAGCTACTAATGGCCGACGTCAACGTGATTCGACTCGCACTGCTTCCCAAACTAGTAATGGAGAATATCTTGATGAATGTAACGTTTTGTGGTATTCCATGTTGACTTAGGCTTTTTGATTTAGTCCCAGATGATCTTGAGGAGCCCTTCAGTGATTCAGATGACGAGTTCGCATCATCCCAACCGCAAAAAATGAGTTTAACATTACCATCAGCTCGTATCAGGTTGAACTGACAGTGAAGTTGTTTCTTACTTATTTGTTTTTAGAACTCTTTCTGGTACCGTCCCAACTGTAGGATATTCACCAAAGTGGGGTGGACCAACAATGTGTGTCAGCTGTCTCGAATTTTTCGACCTTCCAGAGCAACTTGAACATTTCACTGAGTAAGATTAATTTTGAATTCAAAGTAGATATGTTGTTCCAGGCATTTGCTCATTGAACATAAAATTGTTGTTTCTGAGATGGAACTCATTGTTGATCCCAAAAGATACATTGCTCACTGGCGTCAACGTTTCGCCAAAGAAAGTGTGGACAAAATCTTCCCACGTGTTGAACCAAAGGAAGGAGACGCTTTATTTGGTAAATCCCGACTTTTTGATAATCCTACAATTCATTTTGTAGGAAAGACTGACTATTTTTACAATATGTCTGAAGCTTTGCCTGAGGATTATTCTTTAAGACAAAGGCTCGCAATGAGACGACTAGAAGAAGCTCTTTCTTGTCAACAACGAGAAAGGTAAACAACATTTTTTGGAGAAAGCATGTAATTGATAAGCTTTGTAGAGACGACAAATCGTTCCAACTACAATGCATCTTCTGTCGTTATACTGCCCGAGGAAACAGGTAATTTTGAGTTTTGTTTGAGCTTTGCAACATCTCAATTCTGCAGATCCAAAATCATCCACCATCTTTACATGATTCACCATTTGAATCTTGGATCTCCTGATAATCTTGTATTCGTCACTGAATACATTGAGCATTTGAAGGAGAAAATGCAGGTGAGATCGTCAATTTCTAGTAACACCTTGTTCAAAGTGTTTTTGCAGAGAAACGAGTGTATTTACTGTGAAAAGACCTTCCAAGATAAGAACACCTTGATGGATCACATGAGAAAGCGCAACCATCGCGAAGTACGTATATAGGTTCTCTTCCTTTTCATACTAATCTGTATCAGGTTAATCCTAAAAATCACTACTATGACAAATTCTACATCATCAACTATCTTGAACTCGGAAAACGTTGGTTGGATGTTCTTGCTGAAGACTTTGAAGATACTATGCCAACATTCCAAGATTCTGACGAAGAAGAGGAAGAGTACGTACTTTTCTTTGAAAAAGGTGAAATGTATTTTCTTGTAGTAATTCATGGTGTGAATGGCAAGAGGATTACAACGCTATGGAAGATACAAGAGTTCTCTGTCTGATGTGTGATGAAAGTGCTGAGTGCGTTGAAACTATGTTTACCCATATGAAGGTACGTGAATCGTCGTCAGAGTTAGAATTCAAGAATAACTGTTTGAAGGACACCCATAAGTTGGATTTGATTGGTGAAATCGAAAAGAACAAATGGGGAACCTACGAGAGAATGAAGCTTATCAACTACATCAGAACACAGGTAAGCTTTCTGAAGTATCTTTTACCTAGTTCTTCAATAGAACTTCAATGGTGTATGTTGGATTTGCCAGAAAAGCGATTTGGGAAACACAATTCAATTGGCGAAGCACCTAAAAGAAGAGGAAAATCCCTTCAAGGTTGTCTTGATTTGCAATAATTCATCTCATTCATATATCACAGGGTTTTCCTGATCGCTCTGTTTGGGATAAAGAAGACAATCTGGTTCCCCTATTCGGAAACGATCACCTTTTGTGGATGCTTGAATCTTATTTCGAGGGACGTGAAGGAACACCATGCGACATAGACGAGCGAAACAGACGTGATCTGGATAAGTCTATTCAAACCATCATCGAAGAGAGTCAGAAGAACACCGTTGAAGGAGTGAGGATTCCAAACTAATGAAAATTGTGTAAACGATTGATTTCAGGTTCTTGCTGAGGATCTTCCTGACTTGCACGAGCTCAACAGCACCGACCTTGATGAGTTGATGTAAGAAGCTTGTATTTTTGTTTCAACTCATCACATCCACTTTCCTTTGTTTATTTTCTGTAATATGGATTTAGTAGTATGGCTTAGTGAGAATTTAGCAATTTTCGTTGTTTGCTACTTTCTTTTCTCATCGTTTGTTAGGACATGTGTTGTTTCATTGTCCTTTTTTGTTCATTGCTTATCAAGTTGTTAATACTAGCTGATGTAAGCTTGTGTCTTACATTACTTCACTTCGGTGAAAAAACTTTATCCGGGGTTTCTCACTATACTATCACACATTCGTCTTTTCTTAGCTAATATCATGGTTACTCATTTCCTTTCGTCTACTTTCTGGCTTTTGTCTTACATTCTCAACTTTCAAAAGAAGTTTGGCTTGCGATGGGACGTTTTAACCCCGGACGTTGTTGACAATTGAGTGTTGATAAAGTTTTTATTTCTTCCTAGCTTGTTCTGTTTTCGCTTTTCGTCTTTCTTCGAAACAATATTTGTAATGAACATGGGAGAATTATTATTTCGAAGATTTTTGCAGAACATGTTAGTACCGTTTTCTGCCTTGAGTACGAGGACATTAGGCCGGCTCCAAGCTTTACGATTAGGTGTTATTCTTTCCAATGAGTTCCCTTGTATGGTAACATAGAATCTTCTTATCTCAAAAAGTGATTTGAAGGTTATGTTACACCTCTGACACAACTGAGGTTCTATGCAGACAAGAAAAGAGGGAAGCGCAAGTATATCGAGTCAGTTGTTGTGAAACAAACCAAAACTTCCAAACAAGTGCTCGATGTTTTTGCTGACATGTCAGCGAAGTAAGAACTGTTTAATAGGAAAAATATTTTGGTTTAGAGAGCTTTCAGATACGCTTCAAATATCGTTAGATGAGATCGCAGATACGGTACTTAATATGGACTCTCGCACGATAGATGGGTTTTCGGAAACGGGGCCTTTGAATCAAGATTTAATTATAAAAGTCTGTTTATCACATTGTGTTAATGGTTCAGAAGTTATGCTCTCTCAGGTTGTTGCAGCTTATAACTTCAAACCAAGAATTGTAGCTAGGAAATTAAAACAATCGAATGATTTTCAAGATGATCTCGTTCCTCAGTATGTTGTCATATAGAGCAAAGAAATAACTTGATGTTAAGAGCTCCAGCGATGGCTGAAGATTGTGTGAAAAGACCTCCCGTTGTCACCATAATGGGACACGTTGATCACGGAAAAACGACACTTCTTGATGCTTTGAGAAATTCAAAAATAGTAGAAGGGGAATTCGGTGGGATAACCCAGCATATCGGCGCGTTTTCAGGTAAGCCAAAAACAAGATCAACCGGTCTTCGCGTCTGATAGCTTGAGAATGGAAATCTACTTTTCAATTTTTTTTTCAAATTCTCGTCACTGCGATATCACTGCAAATTATGTTTCAGTACAACTGAAAACTTCGGGACGGAAAGTTACTTTTCTGGACACTCCCGGTCATGCAGCGTTTGCTTCGATGCGAGCAAGAGGTGCGCAAGGTGCTGATGTTGTAGTATTGGTTGTAGCTGCTGACGATGGGGTCAAAGAACAAACTGTGCAATCTATCAAGTACTTTTTCCCATATTTTTGAAATAATGCCTGTGCTTTTCCTAGATTCGCTCAATCGGCTGGAGTCCCCATTGTTGTTGCTATCAATAAATGCGACAAGCCATCAGCTGATCCGGTTAGTTTTTCGATTAAGTTTATTTGTAAGCGTATGTCGTAGATGAGAACGAAGAGAGCTCTTTTGGAGCATAATGTTGTCGTTGAAGAATTAGGAGGGGATGTTCAATGTATTGAAGTTTCGGCTCTTCATAAAAAAAATTTAGATGCATTACAAGTGAGAGTTTTTGTACACTCTTTTCAAATCTTTTTTTAATGATTTAGGAGGCTCTAGTGATTCAAGCAGACGTTATGGATTTGAATGCAACTCCAAAAGGGTTGGCAGAGGGTGTTGTGATTGAGGCATCTGTTGTTCATGGAATTGGCAAGATATGCACAGTTGTTGTAACAAGAGGAACGCTGAAGAAAAACTCCATATTGGTAGCAGGGAACGCATGGTGTAGGATACGCACAATCACCGACGAACATGGGAAGAATGTATCTTCAGCACCTCCAAGTACTCCTGTTAGAGTAAGGCTAGGGTTTAAATTCCATTTTCATCTCACTGATTAGGTCTCCGGTTGGAAAGAAGATTTACCTTCTCCAGGTGATATCGTGTTGGAAGCTTCCACCGTTGATAGAGCTCAAAAAGCTGTTACGTATCGAATGAAAGTTGATATGGACAAGAAAGCGGAAAAGGACTGGGTATGAAGCTTACATTAACACATTGCAATCAATGAATACAGGATGCCATCGAAGAAAAACGAGCAGCCGAGAGAGAAATATATCTTAATAATCGACAACAGCTTTTGGCAAAAGGATATAGATTCGGATCAACATTGAGGAGGATTGTTCATAGAGAAAACAGACTGGAGAAACAGGTTGATGATGGATTCCCTCGACTCAATATTTTGGTAATCTTTCTTAAATTACTCGGATGTTAACTGCAAGTTTAGGTTCGCACTGATGTGGATGGGACACTGGAGGCAATTATGGATATAATTAACACTTATGAAAGTGAACAGTGTCGTTTTGCAGTAGTTGATTTTGGCGTGGGGCCGCCGACAGAGAAAGATGTTGAAATCGCAAAAGAGACAAATGGTATCCTTGTTTTATAACGCTTGAAACTATTTCGTAATGATTTTAGCTTTGATTTATTTGTTCAACGTTCAACCGTCTTCGAATGTGAAATCCAGCGCCGAATCTGAGGGTATTAGAGTAGAGCATTTCAATGTTATTTATCGACTCGTGGAGAATCTTAAATCCGAGCTATCAAGTCAGCTACCCACTAAAACCGAGCTTGAGCTAGTAGGAGAAGGACATGTTCTGAAAGTAGCGAATCGTTCATTAGCTATAATTTTAGTCAAAACTTTCAGGAATTTTTGATTTCCGATCGAGCAAGGAAGAAGCAACCTATTGCAGGATGTTTAGTGGATTGGGGAAATTTCCAAAAGTACATTTATCTTGCTGTATTGTATTGAATAATTTTTCTTCAGAAATTGTATTTACAAGTTTATACGCGGTCAGAATGTGGTTTATGAAGGATATATCGAATCCATGAAATGTGAGATGGAAGTTGTTGCTCAAGCCAAAACTAACACAGAAGTCTGGTGTTCATTGTTTTCATTACATTCTATGTTTCTTTTCAGGTCGGAATAGCTTTAGATAATAAAAGTATCAGGTTCAAGGAAGATGACAGGATAGAAGTTTATCGTGAGAATGAAGTCAAACAAGAAATCGATTGGGACCCACCAGGATTCTGAGCTTTTTTTGAAAAATCGGGTTAATATGTACATAATAATAGGATTAGTTGTTATTAGCAATTGAAACAAAGTGAACTTTAATAAATTATACGAATATCATTGCGAAGAAAGGTTTATCCGTTTTTATCTTGATAGTCATGGTTTATACAGTAATTCGTGTTTCAAGTAGCTAGTGATCTCAATCCGATTCTGTTTGGATGTAATGGATATATGTAATGAAAATCTAACATCTACAGCCATAACTCGAGTGGATTCTCTGATTTTTGGATATCTAAATAGACAGCAGGTAATGTCTTAGCAATTCCATCTCATAAACCTTTTCCTTAGTATACCAAAACGGTTACTGCTTTGTTAGAGGAATCGCCTGTGCTCAAAAATGTCGGCGGTAGATTCGGTGGTGGACGCGAGATTTTTATTCAAATCAATCCTACTGTATGTGATAAAAATTTAGAGTATATTGTTGAAGTAGGACAGTATTCTTCATTCGTTCATAATCATTTTGATGTAGACCTTCGCACAGTATGGAAGGTTTGATGTTCCACCAGAATTCATTGATTTCGGCCAGCAGCTGAGATGCTTAGCCAACGATTTTTCAAGAATGACCTCTGTTCAGGGGTTTTCTAGGAGGTTCGCCAAAAAGAAAGATTGGATATTAACTATGTATTTCTTTAGTGAAAACCAGCAGAAAATGTATGGATCTCGCTCTAAATCTAAGGCACCTGCATCGTCAGTGCCCTCCAAGGAGAGGTAACTTCAGAGTTTAGTTCCCAGCTCAAACTTCTTTCCAGTTCCACCTCTTCGCAAGTCAGTTCGGCGACCCCTACAGTATACCATATTCCACAACATCCCTTAACCGTTGATAGCCCAACACCTCGAGTATGTTTCTTTCAAGTTTCTTGTTTGTATCCAATATATTTAGAACATTCCATACCTCGGTAAACATTCGTCAACGAATTCCGTGTTAAGTGATATTAACAATCAACAACCAAAGTTGAATGAACACGTTGGTTCAATAATTATTTAGTCATTTGGATATTAATTCTAGATGAGCTTCCCTAAAACTTCCAATCAGAGTGAGAAACCCCAGCACCTTTCGAATTCTTGTGATGTGCAACCATTCCATACCGGTGATAATATTAATTCGTCAAATTCTAATAATTTGTAATCAACCGCTCCGGAATGATGATTTTCAAAACGTTTTTTTCAGAGATCCTCCTATACATTCCGATGATCAAGATCCCAGTAATATGCATTCAATGTTATCTGATGAAGGTATCTTCAATTCAGTCTGCTTCAATCTTTCAAATCGATAATGTTATAGTTTACTACTTCATTTTATATTTACAGGTTCGTCTCGTAGGAAACGACAGCATCCGCACAGTTTTTCTGAGAGATTTGTTTCTAAGCTAGCTGATGCTGCAAGTCGTTCTAAACAAAGCAGAGAACAAGTAACTAGTACGACTAGTGCAGCGGTATGTGGGGATGTTATGTTTCAATGAAATGGTTTCTTTCAGGACGTGTCTACATTAGACATAGGAAATGAAATATATGATTTATTTGATATTCGTAACTTGCCTTCACAATTAGAAGAAGTTGTGTGTCGTTTCGATCCCGAGGATCGTTTCTACGATTTCGCAGGATTCATGGGGGAGATGGAAGAATCACAAGAGCATACCTTCGAGCAAAACATTGCTCCAGACGTGCAACAGATGGTTCGTAAGATTCGAAAATATTTCAAAAACGATTCGTTTTAGTTTGACCAAGTTCCGGGATATACTCCTTATAAAGAAAGTAGTTCGCCAAGAACTCCAGTTAATGTCCTCCCTAAAGAGCCCATACCTGAACTAGTATGCAGTCTTAGACAACCAACCAACCTATCTCTTATGCCTGAACCTGCCAAGATTCCCTTGTTAGCTTGACTTTGAATTTTAAACATTTAAACTACAAGTTTCAGAAATAATACGAGACCTTATGTCATGAAGGGTCCAAGAAACACTCAACCCAAAAAGCAACCGGTACATTCAACCGCAAATTTTTTTATGAAAGGATTTGTTTAGAAATCATTGACAGAGCGTACATTCATCAAAGATCTCAAGTTAATAGAAGCGAAAAATGTACCTTTGCGAACGAAGTTCTAATACACTTAATTATCAAATTGAAACTCATTATATAGGATTACCATGGACTCATTATTTGATGACGCTGAAAGCAGTTCTTCCGAGAGTCAGGAGACAATTGATAAAGGGAAGAGAAGTAAGTCTCCAGATCATAAAAAGAAGAAGGATCTGAGAGAAGATGTTCAGAAGAATAGGTATGTGATACCAAAACAGCGAAAATTTCAGTTATCGTTCAGAGAACAACCTGTCAAGGAGAAAAGACATGAAAAGTCGAGTAAAGATCGCAGAGAAGAACGTGATCACGAGAGACGAAGACATGAAAAAGAAGATAAACGGGCTGAGGAGAGTAGGAAAAATATGGACGTATGCTCATGTTTCATAATTTACGTGACATATCAATCTAGGAGAAGCCAAGAATATCAAGAGTGGAAAAGAATGACGATCGGAAAAAACATGATCGGTTCCGTGAGGAGTCTGAAAAGAGAGAGCAGGAAAGGAAAAAGAAGGAACTGAGTGTACGTTCAGCTAGGGAGCAGGAAAACGTATTTCTGATTTTGGTCTTGTTTTCTGTTTTCAACGAATTCGTTTATAGCAAAGACGAGAAGAAGCTATGAGGAAGCGCGATGAAGAAAGACGTCGTGCAACTGCTACTGACGAGCCAGAACCAAATAGGGAAGAAGAAAGAAGGATCAGGGATAAGCGACGAACATATGAAGACGACACAAGTTCACACGACACAGAGCGTAGTGAAAGAGAGGCAAGTCAAGAGAGCTTGAACAATATTTCGGCAAAATCAAAACATTACGATAAACATAAAAAAAAAGAAAAAGAATCAAATGCAATAAAGAGCAAGGTATCCCGGAGTGCTTTCAAAACTCAAATCTTTTTTTCAGTCATTTGAATGTAAAAATCGAGAAGAAAACAATAAAAAGAAACGAAGTAAAGATCCTGGATCTTCTAACATGCCAGATATATTTGGAGAGATTGAGAAAAATTTTGACAGCTTACGGAGGTTACTAGCAGTCGTTATCACATTTGACTCATCCCACCTTTTCAGACATGATAGATCACCTAGCCCTGATATTTCGTTTATGAATATCAAAAAGTTGGCTCCTTCAACAAAAGTATACTTCCCACGCCTCATTTGTTTCATGCAAATTCTTTACAGATACCAAAAAAAGGTTCTGAACAGGCTTTGGCTCAAGCTGAGAGGTATAATGAACCAGAGCCAACCATTCAGTATCATGCACATATAAGTGGAAAAGAGTCTGATTCATCCACTTCTTCTTCAAGTCAAGGAATGATCAGAGATATACAACCACCAGCTGTAAGAAACGTAATCACTTGATGTAAAGATTATTTTTTTCAAGGAATATATACCGACAGCATCAACTTCTAAAGTTCCTTCCAAGTCGCAAATGGTGTGTGGATTAGAATGTGACGAACCTAACCTACTTATAAAGAGTACAGTTAACGACGCCCGAAGTGAGTTGGAAGTTTTATCTTAAAAGCAACATTATTTTGCAGTTGGGCTACAGTTTGAGAGTGCTTCAGTCAAATGGAAGAAAACTCCAGTTGTGGTATGATTTCATGATAGTTCAACTCCATCTAATATATTACAGGAGACCACCTCAAGTAAAACATCTGCCGAAAAAGAACAAGATTCGCGAAAAAGGTCTTCGCAAAACACGCTCATTGGAAAATTGTTCAACGAAAGTGGATCGCCAAAAGTCAGTTTGTTGGCTCTAACCAAGAGCAAGTATGTTTTCAGGACGCGAATAAAAAGAAAATTAAACTTGATCTATCTGCAATCGATGCAATTATGAAAAAAGTTCATGGAAATGCACCTTCTACGTCTTAAGAGAGAATTCTATCTACATAGTTTCACAATCTATATTCATTTCAAGACGGATACTATATTATTTTTTTTGTTTTTTGCGAAATTTGAAATTTGTACCTTATTCGAACATTTATTCATTGTTGAAGAAAACGTGCATAACATATCAATAATCATGTTGTCTTAGATGGGGCGATTAACTATAAAATTTAAAGATTTGTCCAGATATTCCTTATTTCATTGGATGTAATCCTTTCCATCCTTATTCCAATCATACTCCTTGGTAGTTACCGAACTTCTACCATTTTCAGGAATGTTAAAACCTGTTTGTAGTTTGAACTGTCGATACTTGTATAGGCTTTCCCTGCTTAAATTCTCGTCACACATATCAGAAGCTTCTATCGATGAATCGTTTGTTCAAAATGTCTTGTGCGTGTTAATTCATCTCCGCTTTCAGATTTGAGGCTCTTGTTCGGCATGTAGATTCTGCCCAAACATTGCGAGCGCCCTCGACATCTCACGAAGTTATGGTGCTGCACCCAAAAGTAGAAATATCAATAAAGGCTCTTTGGCATATTATTCATTTAGATACGTTGGGGAGCTTCTAGTCCGTCTGCCTTGAAAAATCCATCGAATCAGTTGGACGAAGCTATCTCTCTTGTGAACACTCTGCCAGGTTTCCGTGTTGTTCAGTTAGTTGATACAATCGTTTTTAGTGACATAACTACGCCTTTGTAGCTCGGAAATCATTGGCGTTGATTATAACACTAAAAGAAAATCAGTATGGGGAACGGGAACTATTGAATATCTTCTTAGAAGGAAGCAAGATATTCGTGCGTCTGCCATAATGTTGAACATCGATATGCTGTCTGCCATGCAGCAGGTAAACCCTCTTTACTAGACAGTCCTCCGGCTGGGCTCATTTAGAACGAGTGCACTTTGACATACGGTTGCATTCACATTTTTCTAACTCTTTTGGAACGTTAAGTTTTCAGGTAGAGCTATCCGACATTTTCAAAGTGCCAATTTATGATCGTTATAATATTGTTCTGTCTATCTTCAAGCATTACGCTAAAACGGAAGAATCTAAGCTTCAAATTCAGTTGGCTGAAATTCCATATATGAGGTTGAAGAGATAGGATATTCATTAATCTTTTGTTCGCAATTAGGCATCGACTACATTTCATGAATAAATGGGCCGCGAAAGGCTCGGTTCTCCATGTACAAGAAGTGGAGCAGTTCCGAGGGTAAGCTTAATTATTAGCCTTTGCCTCCTCAAGTGTTCCCTTTCCAGTATCGATCGTTTCGAAGTTCTCAGACTGCGGGAGCAGTCTATAAAAAAGAAATTAAGAGAAATTAATGAAGAGGAAGACCGAGAAGTTAAAAAGAAGTCTTCTGATGCTGGTTTAGTAGCAATTGTTGGGTTAGTATCGGATTCATGTTTCTAAATGTTCATTTAATTTTCTTCTCTTCAGTTATACCAACGCGGGTAAAACGAGTCTTGTCAAATTATTAACGGGATCGAGCAGTCTTAATCCGAAAGACAGACTCTTTGCCACACTGGACACAACTCGACACATAGCTTTGTAAGGTCTATTAGAACCATCATAACAAGCATAGTTTTATAGATTGCCTTCTGGGAGGAAGGTTGCATTTGCTGACACAATAGGATTCTTGAGTGACTTACCCACACATCTTATTGCCGCTTTCGAAGCAACTCTGTCCCACGTGAAAGAAGCAGTTGAGAACTTTTTCCTCAAAACTCAAATGTTCTTTTCTTCGGTAGGATGTGATTATACATCTACGGGACACCTCAAATCCTGCTTGGCAGTCTCAGTCAGAGGATGTGTTGAACACTTTGACATCCCTGGGAGTATCGGACGAAAAATTGAAGAACATGATTACCGTGGATAACAAGGTTTTGACTCACCAAAGTTCCAAAATACATGTATAATAGGTGGATAAGGAAGATTTCGCGCCACAAGAACATTCTCATAAGATATCCTGCGCTTCCGGGCTTGGAATTGAACCACTCATTCAATCAATAGACTCGGTTTGTCTTTAATTCTACGGCATGTCTATATTCTCTTCTCTTTCAGAGTATTCTAAGTGCATTAGGCGTTAGAATCAGACACTTCAAGCTGAAGCCATCTTCTAACCTTATACCCTATTTATACAAGTAGTTCTGACTGTTTTTACTTAACTATAAGAAGAATTTTCAGCGAAGGTTTTGTCTCGCAGGAGCCTAGAGTCGATGGTCAATTATTGGTTTTTGAAGTTGCTATGACAGATGCTGAAATGAGCCGAATGCAGAAACAACTAGGATCTTCATTGAAACAAAACAAAATAAAATGAAATTTCAATTTGTGCTACTGTTTAACGGTTTCTAAGCCGCTGTTACTTCACTCTTGTCATTGACTTTTCTTAACTGAAAAATTAGTTTTCCAGCTTGGATCTGATATAGTGAAACCCAAAAATGGTAAGCTTGTAATATTTTTTTTGTTCTACTTCTTCTTTTTGTAGCCGTTCTTAGCTCTTGAGTTCAAGATGAACATGGTCGGCGTTACCAACTTGCGAATTGAAGACCCTATTGAGTATCGTTGGTTCATCAAGGTAACTTCTAAACTCCAATCCCACCTGATATCGGAATTTAGGTAAAATGTACAGGATGTGGAGAAATCCCCCAAGTTTGGCAGTATGTTGTCATTGAAGTAGGAAAACAAAAGCCATTGAAAGTTTCATTTCAAAAAATGTTCTCTTAGGAGCTTGTACCTATCCCAGAATCGAAAAGTGAGGCTCACTTGGTCGAGAAATGCAATTTCTGCAATCGCGTCAACTATCTTTGTAATTATTCCAAAATCTTCTAACCATACCGAGTGACATTCAGGCATTGTCCCATCAACTATGAATAATTACAAAATTGAAAAAAATCGAGAATTTCAACAAGTGGTCATCTTCGAAAGTAGAGGAATGGAACCTGTTGAGTTCGATTTGAGAGTAAGAAATTATTATCCGCAATTGTACACTACTGATACTTCAGAGTGGTTGGACTGTAGACAGCGTTCACTCTCCTGTTGTTTTCCAGGATATTGATTTGGAGGATCGGGTATATTGAAAGAAATCGTATTTTTAAGCTTTGTCATATAGGCATGGGCCGATTACGATGACAGGGAGCATATCCCAGTTGAAATTAATGAAATCGAGTATCGATTCACTCCTACTACAATGGGAAAGAAGAAAAAAAGATAAACGAGTGGAAAGAAAATATTTTAATTTGTTTAACTGTCTCATTACTTTGTATGATAATGAAGTTTTTGAATGGATTCTTCTGAAACAAAACCATACAACAGCTTAGAGTGACCTCTCACGCATGTGTTCATGAAAACTGCTCGGTTTTATTACTTTAGCATCAGAGCATTTCATGTGAACAGACCTTTAATAAGCTGTGGTGACTGAGCTTCAAGATAAGCCTTTGTTCGGTGATTGGGCTTCTGAGTAGTATTCAATGACAGTAGGGAATGGATTTTCTTAGGTTGGGAATTGTGTTTTTTCAAATTATTACCCAAGTCTCTAGTGCGGTTTTAGTTTGTAGTTCGACTCCTCTTAGACTTTCTCTTTCTTCATGTATCTTACTTGCTGTCCTATCTTTTGCTTAATTGCTTTTTTCTACTAATGTTTGTTTGTTTGTTTTGCTTGTAAATGTTACTTTTTGAATTTTGATTTTATTTTTCAGGATGTGGAAGCAGGGAGGATCACAGCCAGAGGTGACACCTTCATCAAGAGGACGGGAATTCCAAACAAATTATGCTAAAGGGAGAGAATATGTATTACAAGCAGTCAACATAGAAGAAACTTTGAAAGGTTCGACTTTTTCTTTGTTGTTTTCCCGATCGAAGGGTTCTTTTTTTCAGAAGGAGCTCCTGATTTCATTCAAAAGGCGTTGAATGCAAGGGATCTGTACCAAAAAGGAATTGATCTTTTTAAGAAAGTCGGTGCATATAGAGTTCATTCCAATAACGGTATTCTTTTAAGGCGGAAAGAATCAATGTCATGGAAGTGTCTGTAGATCAACGGAAAGAAGTCTCAGACTCTAAGCGAAGAATGGAAAATTACCAGAAAAGTGCTGAGGAACGCTCCATGACTTTATGTATCAAGACTATTTTTGTGTTTTGTTATCAAAGTTTTTTCAGTAAATAAACTAAGCAGTCAAGCCACAAGTGCTCAGTTGAAACAAATGGGAGCACAATCTCGAGCAGCCGCTGGTAGTTCCAACTCTCGTAACTTGTCTTCTGGAAATAGATCAGCTATGGTAGTTCAGACTATGGTAGGCTAGTTAGAATGATTCAAGTTGAGCATTTTTTCAGAATGCCAATGCTGCGCGTTTGAATCAAGAGCGGTCGAGGCAAGCGCTTCTGAAGGGTGTTGATCCTAAAATAGGTTTTGTGTCGCCATGTTAGCTGAACAACTTTCAACTGTTTCAGGTGAGCTGATCTTGGCTGCGATGAACGTCGATACTACTGTAAGGTTGTTTCATGTTTGCGGCTGTGAAGCAGCTAAATTAGCTCTTGAAGAAGTTTGTATCTGATAGTGTTTTTTCCTTAAAATGTTCCTTGCCAGAGCGTTATACTACCGAGATTGAATCCCGATTTGTTCACTGGGTTGCGTCAACCTGTTAAAGGAATTTTACTATATGGTCCTCCTGGAAACGGAAAAACCATGCTGGTTAGTCTATTCATTTCTTTAATATCTTCATATCTTTTTCTAGGCTAAAGCTGTTGCCAACGAGTCTAATCAACAGTTTTTCAATGTATCAGCGTCCACACTCATGTCAAAATGGGTTGGTGATGGAGAGAAAACGATGAGAGCACTGTTCCATATAGCTAGAAATGCTCAACCCAGTATTATATTCATAGGTTCGAATAACATCAGAGTTCTACTGTTAAATATGTATATTCTCAGATGAAATTGACTCACTCCTGAGAGAGAGGTCCGAAAAGGATTCTGAAGTTTCTCGGAGAATGAAAACCGAGTTTCTTGTTCAATTCGACGGAGCTTCATGTAATGATCAAGATAGAATTTTAGTGATTGGAGCCACAAATAGACCTCAAGATCTGGATGATGCAGTTTTGAGGTATTTCGAGCTTTCTCACAAATACTGTAGTCCGGTGTTATAGACGCTTTCCTAAAAGGATACTACTCGGTCTGCCGGATGATGCCGGTCGCCACGTACTTATTAAATCCATTCTGCTGCAGCACGGCATGCTGAGAGGGTTGCAGGATTCTGACGTAAAGTGAGATTATGCGAAAATAATTATATTCGTAACATTTTTTTTTCTAGGTATATTTCCTCTCGGACTAGTGGATACTCTCATGCTGATCTTGTTGCGTTATGCAAAGAAGCAGCAATGTTCCCTGTTAGAGGGATTGACCGGGCAAAGTTACCGCAAACAAGTCAAAACTCTGTAAGAGCCCTAACGGTAATCCCATCAAAGTATTTCATAGTACAATTTTCTCGTTTAGATATCAGATTTTGATAAAGCTCTTCAGATTATCAAACCTTCTTCTAGTGCCAAACAAATGGATGAGCTATACGATTTTTCTAAACGAACTGGAGGTTAACATATTAATAAGGGTATCACCAGGCTCATTCCAATTTCTAATCAATTTTCCGGTCACGCTTTCCGCTTGGTACGAACGTGTATTTTTTCTGAAAACTTATCATCGATTTTTCTTGTATATAACTGCTGCCAGTCATTAAGGTCGATAGTCATTTTTTTTGGGTATATTTCCTGGTGTTGTCCTAAAAACTCGATCTCGATCAATTCCCATACACGCATGTTCTATTTGAATTAATTTTCATTTTATGAAACCATTGTATTGATGTGTTTCAGTCTATCAGCATTAAGATGAACAAGAATATATGCTTTTGCCTGTCTCTCTTATTTGCATATCAACGACAACTTTTTTTTTACGGTTTCTTCGTGGGACTTGTGATCTCATCCCGAGTTATCAGACGCTCAGAACGGTTGTCTTATGGGTTTTCTTTTCAGTGGCTCTCTGTATTTGTTGTAATCCTAATGACGTTATTTATGAAACTGGCTTATTAATACAGATGTATGAGAAAGAGTTTTATTGTCTTATCAGTGTGAAAACATTGTGAACGAAGGTACAATAGAGTTTGATAGCACTCATTCCTTGTACATTGTACTAAGAGAATCCTGGATCCTATTTCATTCGAAGAGTAATACTCTTCAATTTCTTTTTCTTTCCTAACACTGTTTGTTGCGAATTGTGTATAGACTGTTGTTTGCAAATAATAGTTGATGGAGTTAATTAAGCGAGTGACAAGGAAGATTGAGATGCTAGTAATTGTATAAATAATAGCTTTCGTACGGTTTTGTTGTTTGTTCGAATACAAAATCTGTTTGAAAACATCTTTGTTTTATGGAGATGTCAACGTTTTCGAGACAAGACGATCTTCCTTCATTGTCTGTCCCAGATTTGAATGATACTCTAAACAGATATCTGAAAAGTGGTTGGTTCTATTCGAGTTTTACTATCAGTGTCCATTTCATATCAGCTAGAGCATTGACAAACAATGATGATTTTGAAAGAACTGTACAGCAAGTTGAAGAGTTCCGGAGATCAACGTTAGCGAAACAACTGCAAGATGCTCTAGTCGCTAAATCCAAATCAGAGAGGAACTGGGTAGGCATTACATACTTCATCTCGAAAAGTAATATTTTGTAGTTGGAAGAATGGTGGTATGATGCTTATTTGACTGTACGCGAACCTTTAGCTCCATTTCTAAGCATTGTTGCGGTTTGAATAGCAGTGCTCTATGTAGACCACCAACTTTTAGGGCAACACTTACTATACCCCAGTTCCTGGTTCACAAATTAGCCGTGCTGCCGATGTTGCTCATCACTGGATGTCGTTTTGGAATAAAATAAGACTGTTCTCTAAAACTGAAACGAACCTGTTTTTACTTACAATTTAGGGAAAATCTCCCAATAACACGCAGTCGAAGTGTCGTATGGGACATGCATCAATACAAATGTCTCTTTAACTCAGTTCGTATTCCCGATTTACCAAAAGATAAAATGGTTCGTTATTTCACAGGTGAGTTCTATGTGTGCATGAATTGACGTCAAAGTTTGATTCTTGGAGGTTCTGATGCTCCTTCTCACATTATTGTGTTTTATCGTGGTAATGCTTGGAAAATTGAAATGTTGAGTTCTGCCAAAGAGTTGAAAACTCCTGAGGATGTGTACTACGTATGTGCTTCCTTGAGCTGTAGACAATAGTTTCGTCTTCCTACAGGAAATTAAATGGATTAAAGAACATTCTATACCTCAATCAAGAAGTGTTATCTCGTTAACAACAGGACACAGAGATATTTGGGCGAAGGTATTCGATAGTCATCATTTTGTCTCAAACAAGCAACATTGCAGCAAAGAGCTGTTCTGTTGAGCAATACAGAAAATAAAAAAGCTATTTCGGAGGTTGAGTCCGCAGCGTTTTGTATTACTTTGTCAGAAGGAATGACTGAAAACTCTGATGAGGTTGATAGGGCTATAACCTTTCATTCAATTCCTTGTTCAGCTCTTGAAAATGGGAATGATTTCGAATCATCAGAATAGCTGGTTGGACAAAAACTTGAATTTGATCGTTTACGAAGATGGCCAAATGATTATGCAGGGAGATGTGAGCTTGATTATGTTCATTGCTTACACTGTAGTTTTTGAAGCACAGTAATGTAGATGCCATTGTAATGATTCATTGCGGTGACGTAGCCGCAACCCGCATTCGGAAGAACATTTGGACTCCTCAGGTAATCAATCACTAATCTTCTTGTTACTTGCTCACTGAGACTATTTTTCAAGCATCTACAAGGAACTCCGCCGACTGAATTAAAATTTGTATTCAACGAAGATATACAGAAAGCCATAGATCAAGCTGTAAATAGTTATGAAAGACTCGTAAGCATAGACTCTCTAGAATTTTTCTCACTGCATTTTACAGAAAGATATCTTCCGATGCAAGATCGTCAGGTATACCTCTTATGGAAACGGTTTTCTGAGAAACAACAAACTCTACACTGACACTATCGTGCAGTTAGCGTTACAG